CCCCAACAATGAACCTATAACTATGCTACAGTGTATAGCAAACACTGGCAATAAAAGAACGTGAGCCACCTGATATATGCAGTTGCTTTTCACAAACATGCCAGAACTTCTGGAGAATAGAACTATCTGGCGAGTATCCCAGAGTTTCCAGCTTTGTTGAAGCAAAGTTGGCCTTACTGAACAGACACCACTGTTCAGCGATTATGATGCAAACCTCAAAAGGAAAAAACAATTGAAAGTCAGCCAAAAGTGCAAGATATCTTTTGTTTTGTAGGGAAATTGGGATGGACAAAACCGATCACAAAATACTTACCCTACATGCGAGAAGATTCCCAGATTTAGCTTCACCGGACTTTTCAAAACATGTTTCTAAGAAGTATTCAAGTTGTCCAAACAAATCACTGCACTTGGACTTTAGGGAAGATATCACAGTCTCCATTACTGTTTTACTATTTAGGATAGAGTGCAGGCACCAACAAAGATGTAGATGCATGTTCAGAAGCAAAAAGCAAATAATCTGCGCAGTTGCAGAAGCTATTCACAGTAGGCAAAGAAAGGTAAAATATGTACTCCATAGATAGCTACAATTCAAAGTCCATTTCCCACCTCATTATCAATGTTCTTGGAATTCTGAAGAATATGAACAAATTCTTCATACAAGCTTTCAATAGAAAGTTCCTGTGACAATTGAAGTTCGTACAGCCGCTTTAAATTTACTAGTAGTAAATACTCATCATCTCCATTCTGCAAAATCAGAAGTGCAATACATGATAAAGTGTTGGAAGGAAGATAGTGGAACCATAAAAAACAGCACATACAGCAACTTCTTTGACAGCAGATTTAAGTTTCACAAGAAGCTCATCTTCAATCTTCTTTAACAGGTTCCAAGCAAAATCTTGTAGCTCTCCTCGACTCTCAGCAGCACAGTAGTTGATGGCTCTCACAAAAGATCTCAAGACATCCTTTTCACCATACTTAAAGAATGCATCTTTCATGAGTGTAAGAACAGAGATTAAATTCTGAAAGGGAAAACAAAACAGCTGAAGTTGCATCGCTCTAAGTTATGATTAAACAGTGCTGATGTGGACAGCTTCAGTAGACCAACCTGATTTTGACTCTTAACAGAATAAAGCTCTAGATTCATATGAACAACTACTTCAAGTAAATAAGGCACTTTTGTTTTGTCAACCATAAATTTCTGTAGTAGCTGTGGGTAATTCTTCATCATGACATGTGTAATGGTCTGCTTGTTTGATTCGATTGTTTCCTGATGAACAGAATAAAGAAGTCATAGATAAAATGAAATTTAAACAATGTACAGTTGAACAGAGATCCAGCATTGCATTTCTAAGCTTCAATACAACCCAGTGGGTGCCACAAATGGAGTGTGTGGAGGGCAATGTACGCAAAGTTGCAAACTTTTTTTTCCAAAAAAGGTAGAGAGGCTATTTTTGAAAAACCCTCACCTTCGAATCAAGAAAACACTAAAATCTGTTTAAAAAATCTAAAATTTGAGGATGAATAGCAAGAGTAAAAGAACTACGGAATAAAGGAAGAGCAATTACAGCCAAAAAATACAAATCCCTAAAGATGCATCCATCCACACCTAACTACCTCCTATACCCAAGTTCTATGCCAACTCACCCCACAACATTAATTTCTTACCTCTAAACACCCATATCTTGGGCCATGTCCTGGGCAAGCAGCATAAATATGGCAGGTTTAATTGCCTCGTTACAACTTTTCTTCAATCGACCATTCCTCTCCTCAACCTCCCCAACACAACATCCATGCCACTCTCCACTTTCAAGAGTCTATAGATGCAAGACTATGACCTTCATTTGATGTTTGGGCATTCCTTCAGTATTCTACCTCCATGTCTATAATGCATTTCACATGGTCAAAAGATCATGTGCCATTCACTCCCTTGCCTTGGCCAATCAAAATAATCTCATATTTCCTCCTTTCACTGCCAAATCCTTGTAGAACTGCTTAAAGGTTGCAATAATCACAGCTGTAACAAGTAACTCAGGTTTCTTCTTTACAGTCTAATAACTTTCTAAACCTTCATTCCTCATCACAACTTTCCACAAGCCTCATGTAGTATGCCTTATTGGCACCTACTTTCCCGTAGACTTCTCCATTCCATCACCAATCACATCTATGGTCACTTAAAATACCCCTAGAGACCTCTAATACCTCCCAAGTCAACGCTCCGATGCAAGATATTTTTCAAAGAGAATATGTTATCCACCTGCTGTCAACATCCCTACAGTATGATCACTAATCGGAATATGTTTCTCAAAGAGAGAAAATTGTTAGAAGAGGTTTACCGTTTTAAAAAATCTGCTCACTAGCAAGTAACAAGTTGCAATCAAAAAATCTTCTTTATTCTGTTTCCAGGTTCAAATTATCCACTTCTTGCTTTTAGAACAAAAAAAATCACAAAACTATTTCCAAAAAAATACAACTTCAATACAGCCTAAAAGCACAAAAGATCATCATGAGAAAAGATTGACATGAGATTTGAGAAGAAAAAACAAATTTAATGAAAATGCAGTAGATAAGCATATAAATTTTATTAACCAACTCATTTTCTAATACAGCTAACAGTGTTTGATCTCGTAACATTTACAGAATAACAGAACTTGACTGATGCCAGACAGTTTCTAGACAGCAAGGAAATTAATGAGAAAGCTTTGAAAAACAGAATCTAAAGGATAACAGGTAAGTATTCCAAGAAGTATAAAGCAAAAATAAAAGGTTCCCTCACTCTTTGTGCTTTATTATAATACTGTTTTCTGTTATCAGTAGCAGGAACAATTTTCTCTCCAACTGCCTTTTTAATAGATGCAGAAAGCAGCCGAATCAGGTTTGTAGCATCTGCATCACTTAGCTCGACTGATGTGTCTTCCTCAAGAAGCATTGAAATGATGCACTTCCAATCCTTCAAGAACATTATGTTCACAGTTAGTGACATACTGACATGTAAGCATGATTGCTGGCACTAAAAAATCCCCGTCTCCCCTAAAGGATATGCAGGACTAAACTCTTTCAATGAAAAAAATATTCAGAAAAATAATGGAAGAGAATGCATAAACCCACAAATGGCCGAAAAAAAGGTAAGGTAACAGTAGCCTATGCAACGTACTTTCATAGCATCCATGTAATCCCAGATAGCATCAATAACATAGGCAATTAACATTTCATCTGACGAAAACTCTTTCAATATGTGTAGCAATCTACCAAGTAGAATTTTTGAAGATTCTTTAGCATTTCCTGAATAAAAAACAATAGCATGGTTAGTAAAACAGAAGAAACAAGAACAAATCTTAATGGCTTAATGCAAACAAACCTGTTCTGCTAGACTGGTCGATCAAATGGTCATAAACTAGAGCCCCAATTGCACGCCTGATTTCAGGTGGGTCATCAATAAGTAAGTCATATAATGAGCCTAAATCCTCATCAGGAATAAGCTGGAGTCTGTAAAATACCCAAAAAATTAGCATATCACATAATATTATAATAATGTCATAGAAATAAAGACAATGGATTGTCCGCATTTAATAATAAAATACCGTAGTAGTTGGGTTACAAGTCCTATGCCACACACAGCGACTGAAATATCAATGTCATCTGCAAGCTCAATCATCCTTTTGTAAAATCTCTCTGTAAAAAGGCCAAGTGATGGAACATTATCATCCAGTTTATATAACTCCTGCAAGGAAAGGACAGATGTCTTCCTCACACCTTCATTCTGTACAAAATTACCAAACATAAGAATTAGATACTCTGAGCTTGAAAAGCTCTCAAAATAAATTTAATTGTGTGACATTCTGCTTACTTTATCATTCAGTGTCCATCCAAGGTATTTCAAATATAAATCCTGCAAAAACAGTGAAGGGTATTCTCGTATCCAATCACCCAATGACTGTATGCATAACATTCTGATATCAGGTTCAACATCACGGTACCGGTGCACAAATAGCCTACATGAATAAATGACATAATAGTTATCAAGCACAGGGAATGAATTATCAATTAAAGTTCATTACTTTACATATCATTATGAGTAGAGGTCCCTTACCCCTTAAATATTTTTCGCATCATCTCCTCTATCACTGTAATCTTTTCATGAGTCATAGTTAACCTCTTCTCAAGTGATGCAACACGAGGCCCATCAGCTGCCTTCTTCTTTTCTGCATTGAGCTGTCTCTGAGTAGTTTCTCGCTGAACACCAAGCATTTTGGCAATATTTATAAAGGATGTGACGAGTTGTAACCCCATCAAGGAGGCAATTTGTCGATAAACTCTAGGGGGAGTGCTGCAATGCATAGCGATAAAAATATTAGCTCTATCATATCAGTCAAGAATATGTTATACCAAAAATTACATGTATCAAATTGTTTACCATGATAATGCAATTATGTAGTCAGTGCACCTCTCAAATAAGTCACCATCAAACAGTGGTCCATTCTGACACTCAGTAACCAAATTATCCCAGAAAAGAAAGAGGTTATCTTTGAAATTCTTGAACTCCTTTTTTTTCAAAGTTTGGTAATCTTCCACTTCACCCTAATCTCAAGGTTAAGTAAAACAACACGAAACATTACCAGACATCTCAAGCATTTCACAAACATAGAATGTCCTCAAAAAAATACAAGTAAAACTATGACTAACTAGATTGTGTATGTATGTAAATCAAAATTGAGGTCGAAGGAAATATATTGAAAATAGAGCTTGTTGGGGATACTCTCTTAGCCATGTTAACAAGGGAAACAACTACATCATCAACATTAATCTGATCCAAAGACTCTTCATTGACATGATACTTGGCTCCACATGCCTGTAATAACAAAACCATATTATTATTCACAGCTAAATTGTGTGTGTGTGTATTACTTAAAAGCCATAATAGCAGCAATTACTGGCACTGTACAGCCATTAAAAATAGTATTTAATCATTATTACCTCCAGTATCATCATTAAAAGTTCAACTTTTGCAGATTTAGGTTCCTTATCATAATGTTCAACCCAACTCTTAACAACTTGAGGGATTTGTCTCCTGTCACCTTTTAGAACCTCTGAAAATCATGGAGAAAAATAATTCAATTACCACCATCTGTGTTAACCCAAATTGCACGCCGGCACGGCAAATATTTCTGTCTATTTAGAAATGGGAGACAGTAAACATTAAATACATGGAGTAATAGCATACCAAACCTAGTATATCACCATATCAGTATATCTCAGTGAAGAGTAGAGTCAAGGGGAAAATGCATTCTTTATCTGTACTCTGAGGAGTAAAGATGCTCCTCCTGAATGACCACTAAGAAACAATTACCCGTAGCACTTCACGCACTCACACACCTCTACAGCACTCACAAAATCCCTACAGAAATTGGTAAACTTTGACCCCAAATTAAATAAAAATGATATTAGACATTGATACAAGAATAGTTTTATTAGATCTATTATATAAAATTTTTCAAATATTATTGTATCTAATTAATATACAATATATATTTTATTTAATTATAAGTCAAATGTTGAAAACGGTTGACTAAAAAAAGTCAAAACTGGACAAATACTCGGAGGGAGGTAGTATTTTAATGTGCAATCCCAAAAACCTCCTGCCAGCAGTCATGTCCTTGAAAAAGGTTTATGACCAATAAATCTAATCCCAACTGCTCATCCCATATTATCCCACGTCCTGAAGTGCTTCTAATTAACTAAACACAGTTTGAGTGACAAAAAACATACACACACATCTACATATCTCGCACACAAACCCAACAAGGACTCTACAAGCTTAGTATGTCATCCTTAGAGAAGTTTACCGCCGTTAAGTCCAACCTTTATTGTCTACGGATATGACTTGTGTTATGATCACTTACCCATAACAAGTGTTAACACATAGCTTACTCCTCTTCTTATCCCTAATGCTGACTCCAATGTCCTTTTTTTGTACTTCCTGTTAAAGTTCCACCAAAGGTATCCAGTCTTAGAGTGGCTAATGTGCGACTCATGTGCTTATGATTTTCTCCAATGTTCATGCTTCATGTTCATCCTTTCCTTTGACTCAAATACCATTGCTATTAGATAGAATCGCCAGTTCGCGGCCCCCAATAGTTGGAACTTGGAACCAGAACAGACAGGGAGGGGTGTGTTCCAGTCCAGTTCAGACAAATTTTAATTATTATTTTCTGTTATGTAGATAATGTACCAATAAATTACACTCGTATGTAGAAAACTGAGATTGGGCATTGAGTAATTAACTTTAGGGTGTACATATTTGGTGTCATTAAATCAAAACAATAAAATGCAATCAGGAACCAGAACTGGCCCAGTCCGGTAAAACCGAACCACAACACCCCCCCCCCCAGCCAGTTGTGGTTCCATTGCATACACCACTAGTCCACTAATTGCAATATCCTCTAGGAATAGCAAACATCACATGACACTCTTGGGTCCTTCTGGAAATATCATCTGAACTTACGACAAAGAAGAGTGAGCTCAAGTCTGAATGCAGGTCCTTGTGTCCAGACTTCTGAAATAGAAATGTGCCTCATACCAAACTCCAAAGAGACGTTCTAACTCACACATACATTCATAGCATCAAATGTGCCCAAATCATCACCATATGAGTCAGTGAGCATAATTGGAGTAACAATAGTCAGGAATACTCCCAGACTAGGCATGTGATCTTGAAAGCAAAGATGTGAAGTGATTGTTTTATACGAGCTTCTCGATTGTCAGCTATACATAAATTGCATTAAATTTATCTAAAACCATTGATGTTCAACAAGTTAAAATTCATAAATGCCACACTGAAGAGCAGAGTGACAATGGCATAATACCAATTAATGTCTGATCCATAACGGGAGCTGCTGCTAAAGTTCTTGCATTAGCTTTGTTTCGCTTAGCACGAGGTCGAGATTCTTCAAATTCATCAGTAGACTCCTCTCTTTCTTCTTCGTTCAAGCTCATCTCGTTAGCCCTAATCTGAACCCTAGCCCGTTTCTGATATTAAAAAAACAATAATTAGGGCAAGGAGAAACAAAGACGCTAAAAAATGAAGACAATCACAGGGCCAGGTTTGCATATCTACTGACCGAACGACGCATCGCCATCTGGGAAGGCATTGATTCGTCGTCTTCCATGGAAAAAGGTAGACCTGGAGCCAGTGCTCGAGTGTCTACAACGGCGTTTCAGAGTTTCTGCAAGTGTGATTCCCACTCCATCTGCCAAATATGCTTCATGAAAACCGTATTTGAACAGGGAAATGGTGAAAAATTGTTGTGAAGTCTCAAACTATTTCGTATTTTCGTGTACTTTTTTTTTTAAAGGTAGTATTTTTATGATATCCTACCCATCTAATCTAACTATATACAATGCTAAAAGAGCATTGTGAACAGTGTTCCCGCTCTTTTTGCTGTTACAGTATGGGCTGGCTATGGGCTGGCTGGGCTGCCTACTATTGGGCCGCAAATAAGTCCATTATTCACACTATATTTAGAGTCTAAGGCATGCTAGGTGTGAGACACAATAAAGTAAACAAATCACTTTATTGAGCCACGTGATACATCTCAATTAGGCCACCCTTTACATCAAATCAAGAACTTAAAAAGATTTACACAATCTAAGCATTTAATGTGCTTCCAAATACTTAATTCACAAAGCCAATATATATACGTTACTTGCGTGAATACTTTTGACTATAACACCAATTCCTTCTTCCACCATATTTGATTTCTTTCCACCATATTTGAGTTCTTTTGCTTCCTTGAGATGGCCGAAAATTCTCAAAGAAATTCTAGGACAATGTTTACTCCAATTTCCAAGCTTGACAACAACCGTGCAACTTGGATCCTCAAGTTAAGGGCTATTCGTGTCTACTTTGTTCCAAGGTGGGCGAGAGGCGGAGATTCTATGGAGATCGTCTTTCACGATGAGCATGTATTGTATTCACGAACTTATTTCATTTTTTTTCAATTACATTACTTACATTGTATCACTCAAATTGCAAATGTGTCACTCAAATACTCATAATATCTACCTTTTCTATAGGGAACGAGGATTCATGCACATCTCAACCGCCCGGAAAAAAAAGAAGTTTGAAAGCCAAATCACCGAGGATGGTGTTTATGCCATTCGAAATGTGCATGTTCACGACAACTATCAAAGTTTGAAAACAACCGCAAATGATAAGCTCTTGGGTTTTTTCAGAGAAACTGAAGTGAAAACTTTGAATCGGAATGATTTTCCACGGATCATGTTTGATTTAAAACCATTTCCAGTTCTTCAAAGCCAACCATGTTTGAATGATCAAGTTTTAATGGGTATTATTTCATAGAGAAAAATTTTAAAAGTTCTTCATTTCTTTTTCAAAGGTTAAGCATATTTATTTCTTTAAAATTCGTATGAATGAAACAATAAATGAATCTGCCACCACACTTTTTTTAAAAGAAAAATTTAGCCCTTCGAAAATTTGATCAGTTTTTTAAACAGTTTCATTCATATGAAAATTTATAACCCATATTATAAAATATGTCTAAACATTTTTATATCAAAAACAGTTTTAGATCAATCATACAAATGTCTTATATTAAGAGCTATATTTATGCAGACGTGATTGGAAAGATTGTTGCCCGAACTAAGGTTCAAACGAACATTACTAGAGCCGGAGATCAAAAATTCATGGAAGTCACACTTGAGGATCATGAGTATGCATATAAATAAGAGAATAATGTCAATAATAGAAATATAATTTATTCAGATTTGAGCAATGAAATGATACTATAGGGGAAATCGATTGGGATGCACTCTATGGGGAGAGTATGTGGATTCTCCTAAACACAGTTCGAGGTCCGACATCCTACGAAGATTTGAGAACTGTCGATGGTGTAATTCACAACACCTATCGCGATGCATGCTATGCTATGGGTTTACTAGACGATGACAGAGAGCACACTGATGCTTTTAAGGAAGCAAGTTCTTGGTGTTCAGCCAAACAGCTGAGATTCTTATTTGTAACACTATTAACAAACGAATCAATGTCTAGGCCAAAACATGTCTGGGAACAATGTTGGGAATTCATGGCTGATGATATTCTACATCGTCAAAGATGTCTTCTTGGTCATCAAGGTATTATGCAACTAATATTATTAGTATTTTAAAACACACTCTCTTTGATTAACTGTACTCACCTGATCCACAGGTTTAGTCTTAACCGAAGATCAAATAAAAAATTATGCCTTGATCGAGATAGAGATGTTACTTAGGATGCGAGCTAGGAGTCTTCGAGATATTGTTGACATGCCTTTCCCCAATCTAGACGCAGCTTCAATGACTCGCAACAGATTAATTCTTGACGAATTACAATACGATCGGAATGCTTATGAAACAATAATGGAATCCGTCGATTCGGCTCAAGGGAAGATTTTTTTCGTTTATGGCTATGGTGGTACAGGCAAGACTTTCGTCTGGAAAACGTTGTCTGCTTGCATACATTCAAGAGGAGATATTGTGCTAAATGTTGCTTCGAGTGGTATTGCCTCTTTATTGTTACCCGGTGGAAGAACTGCTCACTCGCGCTTTGGAATTCCTATTAATCCCCATGAAAATTCCACATGTAACATTAAACAAAAAACACCTCTTGCAGACTTATTGGTTATGAGCAAGCTTATAATTTGGGACGAAGCTCCAATGACCCATAAATACTGTTTCGAAGCCGTGGACCGAACTCTGCGTGATTTAATGAGTGTAGTTTGTCCAACAAATTCAACCCTTCCATTTGGAGGAAAGACAATTGTGTTTGGGGGAGATTTTCGACAAATTCTACCCGTCATACCTAAAGGAAGAAGGCAAGACATCGTCAATGCTACGATCAATTCTTCGTATTTGTGGAAATATTGCACGGTCTTACGCTTGACAACTAACATGCGCTTACAACACATGTCTCGCGATGACAACTTTGACAGCATGAGAGAATTTGCTGAGTGGATTGCGAGTATCGGTGATGGTTTTGCCGGGGGAGAAAACGATGGAGTTGCCGAGGTTATTATCCCAGAGGATATGTTGTTAAAAACTATGGATGATCCAATTGCATCTATAGTAAAAGCAACTTTTCCAGACTTCAACAATATTGCAAATGATCCAACATATCTGCAAAGTCGAGCAATCTTGGCACCAACGCTAGAAGTCGTGGATGAAATAAATGAATATATGACGTCCTTAAACAATGTCGGAGAAGCAAAAGCTTACTTGAGTTCTAATGCAGTGTGTAAGTCTGATTCAAACGTAGACTTCTTGACGGACATGCATTCTCCTGAGTTTTTGAATAACATACGAGCTTCTGGTGTGCCAAACCATGAGTTGAAGTTAAAGATTGGAACACCAATCATGTTGCTGAGGAATATTGATCAATCTTCAGGTTTGTGCAATGGGACCAGGTTGATTGTTACTAGACTGGGCAATCATCTTATTCAAGCTACGGTGCTTACGGGGAAAAATATTGGACAAGAAGTTGTTATCCCACGGTTGTTGCTTACACCGTCAGATACCAGGATTCCTTTTAAGTTTCAAAGGAAACAATTNNNCCAGTAATGATTTCATATGCAATGACAATTAATAAAAGTCAAGGGCAATCATTGTCGCATGTTGGGCTTTTATTGAAGAAGTCAGTTTTTAGCCATGACCAGCTTTATGTAGCGCTTTCACGTGTCACAAATCGCAGAGGTTTAAAGATCTTGATATGCAATGAAGACCCAAATAAGATGAACCAAACCACCAATGTAGTTTACAAAGAAGTTTTCCAAAACTTATAATGTAATAGTTTCACAATCTATATCATTCATATTTCCTGCACTGAAATATTTCATTCTATAGTCTTATGTTAATTTAATCATATCGAATTCCAACAACAATACTTTCACTCATTATTTAGTTTTTAATTTGGTCGTGCAACGCACGGGTTCGAGTCTAGTACATATTGAAGAATATTAGTGATCTCAATTATTATTTATCATACACAAACACATACTCCCTCCGTCTTGAAATTAATTTCTCATTTTGACTTTTGCAGTCAAAGTTTTTAAACTTTGACTGTGTATTACAGAAAAAAATATATTGAATTTTCATATAAATTTAATATCAATAGATTCATTTTGAAACATAATTTTGAAATATATTATTTTGGTAATATATATTTATATAAAAATGAAGATATTAATGGTCAAAGTGCCGCATTGGAGACCGTGAAAAGTCAAATGGGAAGTTAATTTTAGAACGGAGGGAGTGCATTTTATATCTCTTCTGGCACTAATACTATATTGTGTGCCTTAATATATAACCAGATATATTTTTTTGTGTACTTCTAATATTCTCCTTGTGTAATTTGTGTTGCTATATTGAGTAGTTGACACTAAATTCGGATTAACCCATTTCATTTTGATAAAATTTCAGCCTTAAAAATATACTCCCTCCGTCTCATTTTAAATTGCATGTTTGCCCTTTTTTTCCGTCCCAAAATAAGTTATCTGTTAGTTGTTTTCGTAAACTTTTAAAAATAAAATACCTAAACTACCCCTAAAATAAGTCATTCTTCTTCACCTTATCTTCTCATTCATCATCACCCCTTCTAAAAAGTAATGGCAATTTCGGAAAATCAACTATATTTTTTATTTTCCTTAAATATGCCCAAAAATCAAAATATGCGATTTAAATTGGGACGGAGGGAGTAAGAAATGGTTACAAGACATAGGGTAAATTTAAATGGCAAAATTGTCTATTTTTTAACAAGAAAGAAGTAGATTTAGTCAAATTTGATATGGATACAGACACACCCTACCTATTTTATGTACCAAATATACATACGACGTATGTATCAGTATGTATGAATGATAGAGATAAATGCTCCGTAAAAAGTATTGATAAATGCTATTCAAAATACGTACAAATAAATGTATAAATGATGTTAAAACTTAAACTTGTTTTAGATAATGTTATATGAACGGTCGTATTTAGGATATTATATATTTGGAGATAATTACATACTAGTATTTACAAAGTGGGTTTAGAAGTCGTTAGTAGAGCTTCCAAAATGAGTGTTATTAGAATAGAATGTAATGTAAGCTTGTGTGTGTAGTGCATTGTCTACAAGAATTAGTAGAGTAGTATAATGTAGTAGTGGTTTATTTATAGGAGTCTGGAGGGAGTGATTAAGATTTTTCTCGTGTAGTGTGAGATGAGTTGGGCAAGATCCTTAATGCATGACTGATATGTGATTGTGCACCAAAAATATCTTCTGAGAAAGAAAAAACATAAAACAAATATGCACACACTAAAATAAGAGAAAAATAGATATAGACAAATAGGGTTGAACTTGGTGTAAAAAAAATGAAGGTGAATATGGTAATATCCCTAACAAATGGCAAATTGGAGTAGCTATACAAAGCACAATTTATGAAGTTGGTGGTCGTGGCCTCATGGGCAAGATAACACATATTCAGTCACACATATTCAAACATTTTGAAGTAATGGATTAGTATTCCCTCTTGATGGTTGTTTGCAAGATAATGCTTCGAATGTTGCTCATTCACAATAATTTAACGTTACCTTTTCCACAAAGTTGTAAAGGTCCGGAGGGAATGCCTCCACTACCTCAAATGGTCCGGACCAATAGGTCCTCAACTTACCACAAAAAATATAGAATTTGTTGGCGGGTTATAAATGGGAGATGGACCAAAATAGGAGTAAAAGAGATGTCATATCCCAAAATAGGAGTTGAAACTTAAACTCATGTAAATAGGAGTAATAAAATTTACAATGACTCAACAAATTAAAAGTCACCTCATGCATGAATTTTCAAATCCTTTGTTTCCAATTATTTAGGACCTCCCTTGCCCCTCTTCCATGCAATTTCCTCTTTATTTAATTATTTTTTTTAAATTATAAATTTTCATTCTCTTTTACACACTCATACACTCCAAGCCTCAAGTTTCAACCTTCGGCAACTTTAGAAATTAAAAAATTAGAAATGTTAAAAATGTAATTTAATTTATTTTAACACCTCATCATTTGCTTAGAACACGTCAGTGCCTCTTCAACTCTTCCATGGGAACATAATGTTGTAACTAGAAGCTCCATCTATTACCTTTTCTTTACCAAGTAGTTTCACAAACTCTCTCCCAAATCAATCGTATGATTATTAAAGAAAAACTTCATCAACATTACCACGCTACGTGTTGTTGGCAAGAACTCTCGTTCGTTCATCTTGATTTACAGTAAATTGTTATTGAATCATTAACAAAACTGAATCAACAAATAAATAACAAATTTGAATGTAAACAAAACTAATTCAATAACAAAACACACCCAAAACTTCATCAACAAAAATGAACCAATACCTTACATATAGAAACTTAGTAAATTGCTAAATTAAAATGTCCATACAATGTCAAAAAAGACCACACTAAATGTTACATGTAATCATATAATGGCAATCATGCCGATGTATAATGTAATACATGCGAATGCATAATGCTAAACAAATTAAATAAATAATGTCAACCTTGACATTGTATAATGTTATTCCTGGTAATGTATAATGAAATATATGTCAATATATAATGTTATATATCACAGATGTTAATGCATAATGTCAAAAATGACCTTTGATATACTCCGTGATTGTGGCATGACTTGTGCCTCCTTGTTTGGTAGATCTTGATCCTGAGTAGTGACTACGTCTTCATTATGCATGATGTCCATTTTTTAATTCCTTCTTCATCACAACATGTTTCCTTGAAACAATCTTTGATATAACACACACACACATATTTAAGAAAAGGAAGTTTTATTGAATGGGAAAAGGAAATTACAACGTGCCAAGATGTGTGTAGATTGAGGGCCTGTTCTTTGGGACTTGAACTCTTAACTTCCAGTTTTTTCCAGTTCCTTCCAGTTCTTTCCAGTTTCTTCCAGTTTCTTCCAGTTCCTTCCAGTTTCTTCCCGTTCTTCCAGTTTTTTCCAGTTTCTTCCAGTTTTTTCCAGTTTCTTCCAGTTGCTTCCAGTTTCTTCTAGTTTCTTCCAATTTCTTCCAGTTTCTTCTAGTTTCTTCCAATTTCTTCCAGTTTTTCTTGTTTTTTCCAGTTTCTTCTAATTTCTTCCAACTATATTTATTTTCTTTAAATTCTTTCTACTTTCTGACAAATCACTCTAAAAATATATATTATTATTATTATTATTATTATTATTATTATAATTTTTTAATTACAACTTTTATGTTGATAACTATAGTTTATAAATTATTTCATTTTGTCATCTCACTATTTTTATGATTCATATTCATTGTTTTTTTCTTCAACTTTTTAATATGAATAATACCATTTTTTTGTATATGAATCTACAAGAAAAAATAGGAAATTATTTAAAAAATTATGGTTAAATAGTTATATACACCCTCCGTCCCTAAATATTCACAACATTTGCTTTTTCAACAGTCGCGGGAACTTTTGTTTATTTCGATGTTTTCATTGATTACTCCCTCTGTCCCACTGTCTTTGTCCACTTACCTTTTGGCACACCATCCAATGCACTTCTTTAATCCATTTTATCTTGTAATTTGTATATTAAAAAATTATAAAAATTATATATTAATAATCTATATGGTAAGACGAATCAAACAAGATCACACATGACTATTTTTAGGCTTACACATTGAGAGAATTTGATGAGTCAAAGTGCTTAGATGAACAGTTCCAAAAGTCAAAAGTGGACAAAGACAGTGGGACGGAGGTAGTATTTGATAAAATAAAATATTCTTGACACCTCTTATTTCGAAGAACTTTTCATGTAGTTTGTTAATATGTAAATTTTATTTTTTATTTCTATACCAATATGTAAATAAAATGAATTGAAAAAATTTAATATTTTGCCTCGGGAATACAAATGTGGCAAATAATTTGGGACGGAGGGAGTAGAATATTTTTTAATCTAAACTTATATAAGGTAAACATCAATATTTTAATCTAAAATATAGTAGCTTCAATTAAATTTAACTACATTGTAGAATATTAAGTGCTAGTTCATCTCTAATTATTTTTTTAAACTATCTTTTTATGTATGAAAATAATATTCGTAATATTTTTTTTATTTTAAAGACAATCATTTAGATAACGTAATAACACCACCACTACCACCACCACCACCACTAACAACAACAACAACAAGAATAATAATAATAATAATAATAATAATAATAATAATAATAATAATAATAATAATTATTGTTATTATTATAGCAATAATAATAATTTATATCAACAAGAATCAGAATGAGAATAATTTAAAACCACACATAAAAATTTTTTAAAAACTTTTTTTAGATTTTACAATTTATTCTAGTTTTTTTAGTTTCTTTTAATTTTTTCCTATTTTTCCAGTTTTTTCCAGTTTCTTTCAGTTTCTTCCAGTTCCTTCAGTTTCTTCCAGTTTCTTCCAGTTTCTTCCAATTCTTCCAGTTCTTTCTAGTTTCTTCCAGTTCCTTCCAGTTGCTTCCAGTTTTTTCCAGTTTCTTCCAGTTTCCAACTCTTTTTTTCCAGTCCTAAAGAACAGGCCCTGAGTAGTGATTGTTTTATATATCTACTTTTTCCATCTATTTTATGCTATACATCCATGTAGAAAGATAGTTAAGGTTAATGGGGACGTTTTTGGTCACTAGTAGCAATTCACAAGATAGTTGATCAGTGAAATTTGGGAACCAAGTTGAACCTCACTAATCTTGACCCTTGCAATCGAAGTGCGGCTTGGTCTCGAATAAGCTAATCTGAGGATTGCTCTACCACTATCCGCCACATATTTAATTAATTACTCCTATTTAGAGGAGTTTAAGTTTGAACTCCTATCTTGAAGATATGATCCATGTTTTATTCCTATTTAGGGCGTTTTCTTATTATAAATCTATAATAGGCTCAGTACTGGAATCAAAAGAATTAAAGAGAAACAAAAATCCAAAACAAGAGAAAAAAATAGTAGAAGAAGAAAGTAATTTGGATGAGAGTTTGATAGTCTAGAGAGTCGGGCCTAAAATATTCACAAGAAAACCCCTCTTTGTGAGGCGCTGAGAAAAGCTTACTTCGCGTGTTACTGAGAAAAAGTTCTCTTTGTGCGACACTAAAAAACCCCTCTTCACGAGGCATTGAGAAAATGCACAACTCGCGAGTCATAGAGAAAAAGCCCTCTCTGCGAGGCACTGATAAAAAGGCCTCTTCGTGAGGCATAAGTCCCTCTAAGTATAAGTCCTCTCCTCAAGGAAACCAGAGAAGCTCTCCTCTCCCATGAGGCATTAAGTTCCAAACATAAGTCCTCGCCTCGAGTTATATAGAGAAGCCTTCTTGCATAATGATAAGTCAATTGTTTGTGTACTATTTATTTTTGTGATAGACTTATTAACTTGTATTTTAATGTGATTTAGATCTTAATTGAGTTTTATTCATCTAATATGTGGCTTTGGACTGATTTGTGGTAATTATTTGATATTGAAATCCAAATATAAAGAAAGGACTAAATTCCAAGTGAATTCAAATAATGGGGACAAAGTTGAATTTCCAAAAGTCTAACTTAAATGATCTGATGCCAGCGTCCTTCTTTCGCGTACGGAAATTCTTTCTTTCTCATTTAACCCGTTTTTTTGAAAATTAATAATCAAAGATCCGATTATATATATATATATATATATGCTCCTTTAATTATTCAATGTTTTTACTGTGTCATCAATTCTCTTTTTTATTTGTCCTTGAGTTTGTTGAATTTAATCTATGAATATACTACAATATAGTAAACGTCGTTGGAGAAAGAAGGGAAATGAAGGGTTATCAACAAAAAAGAAGAATTGTAAATAAGGAGTAGAAGATGAAGAGCTTTCAAACCTTAAGTTGGAGAAGTCTTCTTACAATGTCTACATTGCAATTGTCAAGGATTTTAAAAATGTATTGTTTCAATCTCTTTATATATTAAACTTTGTACAATAGCATAGGGCTTTGGATCGGAAAAGACACACTAATCAATGAGGCTATTTTGAAAAGTTGAAACAGATCCATTATAGCACGGTTTCCAAAATATTTTATAAATCCATGCCATTAATGCTTGGATTGTACAAAGTATCATTACTTTTGCTTTATGGAGCCACGTGCCACTTTATGCAGCAAAGGAAGAGTGATTGGACAACACATAAAGTTTATTAGACAACACACTAATTACCTTCTAGATAAGCTGTTTTATAGGCCCAAAACTTGTCCCATCAGCCCAATTTTGGCCCAGCCCAATTTAGCCCAATGAATTAGGCGAGAACACTATTCAAAAGGGCATTCTAGCATTGTATATAGTAAGATTATTTGATATTGAAATCCAAATATAAAGAAAGGACTAAATTCCAAGTGAATTCAAATAATGGGGTCAAAGTTGAATTTCCAAAAGTCCAACTTAAATGATCTGATGCCAGCGTTCTTCTTCCGCGTACGGAAATCAGCCACTGGCGACCCGACCCGGAGGGACCAGAGCAGCAGCAATCAGCGAGTCCGTCGGCCTCCCTCCACTGGCGAGGAGCTACCAGCATCCTCTCCGTGGGTGTCCTGCACTGCAGCGACGCCATCTACGCAGGCGAGACGAGGTACGACCCAACCCGGCATAGGTGGCGACGAGGCACCCCAATTCCGGCAATGATGTTGTCCGATTCCGGCATGCTGACCAGCGACAGTGAGTTCCACTAGGCTGGTCTCCCAATCTTCCTATTTACAACCCGCCCAAAATCTTTACGCGTGAATGGTATGAAAGTGCAAGACAACCGATAGGCCGAGAGCATTGCTCAAAAACTGCAAGGCATTTCTCAACCGCTCATTTTTTCTTTTACCCGATCTTCATCACATCCTTCGTAGTGTCTTCCTTTTACGTCTTCAGCTTTTATGCTCATAATTCCGCAACGATTGAAGCTGGTTCGTTGGTAGAAGCCCGTAGATATATACGCCATCATTTTACAGAGTACTTCGTAATAGGGTCCCTATTACGAAGAACGAGAAGAAGAAGGGGTCGGATTCACTGCTTCAAGAAGAGGTTAACACCATTTTCTAATTTCTATTTTAATTTCTTTATATTTATAGTAATGTTTTAAGTTTTTTTTATATATTTATGGACGCAGGCATCTATGGCGAAGAAAGTGGTAGGTCGGATGCTCATGGTTTCAAGCGATGACAATGCAAGGTAGATTTGTGCTTTTGACTATCTCCAACGTATCCTCTACAATTTCATGACTTCATTTGTAGGGTTAGGAAATAAATTTTCACCCCAACATTTGCACATAGTTCCATGCAATTTGCAGTGTGTTTTTTACTTTTTCGGCTTCATTGTAGTTGTATTGTATTGGTGTATACACCCAGGTCCGTCCCTTATCAGTGTGCAGATTTACACCGCCAAAGATGAGTCACCACCTATTCGATGAAATGTCCCCGTGAGTCCTGTGAATAGAACTCCAATTTCTGAAGCTGATATGGCACTCTTGAGGGTTTCTAATGCACCCCAAATGACCCTGCAACCCTTAAGTTCTAACCAAGCTAATTTAGTCCCCGTTTCGTTCAACTTATTTTTTCTGCCTTGTCTTATTCTTATTAAAATCAGATCAGATTAGATCAGACCAGATCAAATCTAATCAGATCAGATCCAATCTAATCAGATCAGCTCCAATCAGATCAGATCCAATCTAATCAGACCAGATCAGATCCAATCAAGAATTATTATTTTTGTTATTATTAATATTATATTAGAAATTATTATGATGATGATTATTATTATTATTATCATCATCACCATCATCATCATCATTATCGTTACTACTCCATACTTTTTAAAATCCATACTTTTGACTTGTTTCACTTGATACAATTCTTTCAAAAAATAAATTAAATTTCTCTTGAAAAAATATAAGAAGAAAGAAAATGAAACTTTTGTGCGATTATAATCTATGTAGAGAAAAATTCAAAAATAAAATGATATGAAGCACAATTTTTTTCTCAAAAAATTGAAAGAGAATAAACTTTAGAAACAAGTTAAATAGAAAACTTAGAAAGTAATATATTATTATACAAGATAGAGAAAAAATGTATTATTTCTTTGCTTAACATTGAAATTTTATAAGGATGAGATATTTTAATAAAAATACTATCTCTTCTCTATATTGATTATCAAAATTTAATTACTTTTTAATGTATATATGAATTAAATATTTATTCTAATGTATATATGAACTAATTATTAAAATATTAAATCAATATTCTTGTTTCATAAAAAAATAATCATAAAATAAAAAATATTATTACATTATAATATGAATGATTTTTCTAATATATGAATTAACTAATCTTATTTCATTAAAAAATAATCATAAAATAAAAAATATTGATTATATTATAATATGAATTATCATTACAATTTTCAAAAGTTATTATAAAGTCAAAGAAAATTATTGATTTGAATTTTAAATCATATTATAATTAATCGGATCATATCATATTCAATCATATCAGATCCAATCAGATCACATCAAATCAAATCAGATCCAATCAGATCAGATCAGATCAGATCCAATCAGATCAAATCCAATTAGATCAGATCAGAACTACAAAAAATCAGATCAGATCAGAAAAAGTAAGTTGAACGGAACGGAGACTTAGTCCCCTAAGATAGTAAGATCAGGCTTTAGTGAGAATTTTATCAATCTTTGAAATTTTTTAATCTTTTTGCTAGATTTTATCTTCACTCAATTGATCAAACCAATTATAACTAAGAGTCTTTTGTTTTTTCCTGGAATCTTATGAATTCTTTATCTTTTGTACAATTATTAACTTATGATTTCAGACCAATAGTTTGTAAAGATTCATTTCTTTTGTTATCAGTCTCTCATTCTTTGTTTGTTACATATTTCAAGTATGTTTGAAAAAACAATTTGACTTTAAATTTTACTTGGAAATCTAAATGAGTTATCTATTAATCTTATGTGCACTGTTTTGGCTGCTCTAGAACAACAAGAGAAACTCATAAAGGTGGAATCACATCTAAAGAAGTTGCTCCCAGACATAGAATGCCAAAATGAGAGGAAACTCTACAGTCTAGAATTTGAGGTGGCCCCTTTGCCTGTTTGTTTAACCATTCGTCTCTCATTTCTAGAGAAATTTGATTAAGTGATCCATCTTTGTCGTCATGATGAATTAGGTTGAGTCAATCGGGAAGATACTTTGTCAATATTCAAATAAAAAGAAGAAAGATGCCAAAGCGAAGAATCACCAAGAAGAATGACAGGTTTGGATCTTCCTTCGCTTTTCTCTGGCCACTAGCCTTATCCATGCCACCAGTTTCTAGAGTACTTCCAAATGATAACAACTTAGACAACTCTTTCATGGTCTGCCCGATTACTCCCTAAGATGACTAATTACACATCATGTTGATACTTTATATACTCTTATTTTATAATAATATGTATATTCTCGTGGTGTATTATTAGGTTTTTGTAGTTTAGATTCTTACCGTTTAAACCTTATAATACAAGTAAAGAAGCCTACATATTAGAACAGAATTATGAGGTTAATATGAAACAAAATTTGATTTTTTTGTAATTTTATTTTCACTTTGTTTATTTAATGTTTGAAGTTGTCAATGGTTTGAGGTCTCATCCATGTTTTAGGTGATGTGCGTAAGTAAATTATGTTTATGAATTAATCTTCATTTAAATTCTCTTTAAATGAATCAGGTTCGGTTCCCTAATGGTTTGCCCCCACGGCCATCCCAAAGTGAGTATGCTATCTTATTCCATCTATTTCCTTTTACATGTGCTTCCTAGGGTGGGTTTTGAGGTATATATATTTTTTTAAACAACCATTTTTGTCTAAATGCATTATCTATTAATCTTATGTGCATTGCTTTGGGTGCTATAAAACAGAAAGAACAACTTTGAAAAGTGAAACCTCAACTGAATAAGCTCCTCCCAGGCATAGAATGCCATATTGCAAGAGAAGTCTAGAATTCGAGGTGGCCTCTTTGGCTGTTTATTTAATCATTTGTTTCTCATGAACTGAGATTTTTTTAATTCCAATTTTTCATCTCCTTCATAAACAGAGAATACAATTTTCTCTTTTATACGGGTTGGTGTTGTGAGTTTGGAGCTTCTTTAGACCTTTAGAATCATCCCGAATGTGGAATTTCAATAACACTCTAAATTGTTGAGTCTAACAGTCATGCCTCAAGCCTCGCCATTGATGGCTGCCTACTTTAGAGAGCTGCTAAAGAAGTTGTAATGATCTTTTGATGGCTGCCAGTATTTTGTTTAATGCATGCTATGGAGGAACAACTGCTTTGTAAAAGTGTGTGGATTATGTGCATTGGGTTGAAAGCAGCTAATGGGATGGAGGCTATGGTATGGCTGTATGCACTAGTCATAACCTAACAAAAAGAACGAATTTTGCATATGAACTGAACCATCGACTGAATAACTGATGCTACGATATCCAGAAACTTGAACATTTCGTGTACTCACTCTGGAGGCTTTCCATTCGTGTTCGTTGGAACCAAACTCAAGAAAAATTGAATTATGAATTCAACAAACTTGTCACATGTCTTGAATGAAACATAAATACAGAACTCCTACGATAATACCTTGAATGATAAACTAGGAGAATTTCGGTGGGAATGGCGTGGCCATCCATCGAACCATGGTCAGAAAGCGAATGTGAAACCAATTTGTGAATCCTTGTACCTTAGAAGAATTTCGAGGACGAAATTCCTTCAAGGGGGGAGAAATGTAACGCCCTGAAAACCGGTCTAGTAGTTAATCAACAATGAAGTAAATAAGAATTATTTATTTATGATAATCTATTCTTTTAAAGAATTACACCGTAAAAGATATTTTAGAGATTCTAATCTTCTCAATATAATGTGACAAATCTGATTGTATTTATAAAGATTTAAATTAAAAGGTTGACCAGTATTAATTAATCGAGAGAACTAAGACGGACCAGGTGAAACATATAAATATTGGTCAATTGATAATAAAAGTTATATCATTAGGTGTTGATCGACGAATCCAATGCAACGGCGTGAACAGATCTTAATTTTGAGCAAGTTAGCCTGAAAAGCAGATTTTACTTAGGCAAGTTATTTTAAATATAAATACCACCTTTTATCCGGTTTCTTCTCTTTCTTTGACTCAACGCCGCCACCAGGACCAGCGACCCTCCAAATCGGCGAAGCAACGACGCGCAAATCCAACGGCGAATTCTGAACGGCGACATCGTGACCCAGCGCAGAGCCGACGGTAGGTGGACCCAAAGACGAGTGACTTCACCCTTCTCTGCTCTGGCGACGACTCGATCAGGCACAGAGGCACTGACTCCGATCCCCTCCTCCGGTCAGGATGCAGCGGCGACCAGCACGCAGGGTGGCGATTGACGACGGGCAGTGGCGGAGCTAGGAGGTCACAATTGGGGGGGCACACCTCGGGGGTCCGGGGGTAGCGCCCCTGGTTTTTTTTAAAACAATATAAAATGATTTAAAAAATTTATTTCAAAGAATCAAATTATTCACAAAAAATGTAACAATAAATGTTATTATTATGAATTATACAAAATGTTAGTTCTTTTTCAAAATAACAATTTGGTTAATTAATTATTTATTACTAAGTAACAAATTTGTCCGAAATTATATGGAGTAATTCTTATAATAAAATAACAACAACAATAATAACCCAATTAGATTATAGGTGTATTTACGTAGACCTTTATTAATAAAATAAAAATATTATTAATTGAACACAAAACAAAGTAATTGAATATTTAATAGACTTAATTATCTCTCAAAAAACACATGAATAAATATTTACTCCGCAATGAATAAAGCAAAAAATATGGAGTACAAAGCATTTAAGAAACGGGTGAAAATGAGATTAGGATTGGAGAAAATGCTAAAAAGGAGCGGCCCATTTGTTTTAAAACCCTATTTACGTGCCTAGAGCCTGAAATTTATTTTTTCACAAAACGCCGCCGTTTAGTTTAGTTAAAACACGATTCAATAAATCCTCTGTAGAACCATTTTGCAGCGAGAAAAAGAGCAGAGATGGGAACTAGGTCTAGGGGAAGTTCAAGCGCGCATCGGAGGGGCACCACGGCGCCGGTGACTAACATACGCCTGTAGATGACTCTTCACCGGACCTCCGTCGGGGGGGCACATGCCCCGGCAGGCCCCCCTCTCCTCCGCCCCTAACGACGGGGGTTGTCTTCCAGCGACGACGAACCAGCAGACTCCTTCCGGCAATGGTAACGACTGGAATTCCGGCGGTTGAGCAGCGGTGGCAGATGGCGCGACTAATGACTCCAGCGAACGACCCCAGCAACTCCGGCGACCTCCCTCCGTGTTCCGGCCAATTCGGGCAGCGATGGTAGTCTGGGTAGCCGTATCAGTTCGGGCAATGGGACGAATCTGCCCTGATGACGGAATTCGAACGACGTTCTTTCAAATTGATTCGACAAATCAAGGTGAGTACGTGGACAAATAACACTAGAATATGCATACATGTTTGAAATTCCCGTTCATAATTGTTATCTTGATTTGATCTATGTGAAATACTTTGTTGAATTGCTTGATTGTGGCTCCGAAGACCATATTGATCAAAAAGGGTAGAACACATGATTTAGGCGTTGATTGATTATTGAAAATATGTTTGATGAATTGTTATGTTCTGTTTGGATTCATTGACGGATGCATTTAGCCATATTTGGAATTGAATTAAGAACATACCCATGGGGAATTTTCAATGTTTAAATGTTGGTATGATGCTAAAAAACAAAATAGGTATGAAGCTGAAATCTGTTGCATCAGACGGTAGGCGGTACTGCCGGGACGGTACCATGTTACCATCACACTCTGTTTATTCTTTCGCCTCTACCGGTAGCTGCGGCCGTACGGTACCTAGGTACCGGACGAGCAGTAGGCCCTACTGCCCGGTCGGTAGACGGCTACCGTGGTAGTCCTACCAGAAGGGTTCAGTTAGTTCGGACGGTACTCCAGTATCGTAGGACCAGTACCCAGGTACTGTAAGGGCGGTTCCCCATACCGCTAGGGGTACCGTAAGGTACCTGAACTGGGTCTGTCGATATGTGTTTTCGTCAAGGATTGATTCCGAGACCTTATGTGTTGTATTTGAGATTGTGATTGTTCTGTGTTGATCCAACACTTATGTGAACTGATATTATTATTATGGTGATCCAACCTCGAATCCAATGATAAGAGCGGGCTAATCCAACACGCAAATCACAGGTTACATGGGTGTTGATCCAACCCCATGAGCCAAGGTAAGTCTACCTAGAGGAAATCTAGAGCTGACTCAAGTACTAGTATTAGGAAAGTAAGACTAAACCAGGTGGATGCCTACTGGGCTCCAATGGTTAATTAAACCGAGTAAAAACGTACGTACGGGTATCCTTGAACTGGCAGTGGTCCATCTTGTGGGGATTCCACCCACCCAATGTAGAACACCTTTGTTAGTTGAGCATGGCCCGCAGATCCAGTGGGAACCATCATGACTCCCAAGTAAAGTAGTAAGACTGTAGTCCAATATAGTTAATAGGGACTTGTTCTTGGTGATCCACCAACCGTGAGAACTCCCTCGTTAGTTGATTATGACCCGTTGATCGAGTGGGAACAATCATGACTCCAATAAAAGTAGACAGTCCTAAATCTAGTGTTGAGTACAAGTACAGATAAATGGTGATCCACCACTACAAGATACGCTCTGTTTTGGCGAGAATAGAAAAAGGGCAGGGCAGGTAAATTATATGATGAACTGTTTATGTGAACTGCATGATATTAAATCTATGTGCACGATATCATGTTATGATTGTGAATTAGTGGATTCGCCTATGTGTATGTTCGAACTATTAGATATTTCTCACTAAGCTTCGTTGCTGAGCGTGTAGCCTCTTTTTCCCCTTATTACACGTAGGTAATAATGGATGAGCCGACTTTGGAATACACCCTAGAGGGCAGCATGATGGAGGAGATGTATGGATGCAGGAATTTAATGTTTGAATAAATTATGAAGCTTCCACACTGTTTGTATAAACTCTGATATGTATTTAAATTGTTTTAAATTGTTTGAGGTTTTAAATAAAATGTTTTAATTCTTTTGAAAACATTGTATGTGGATACCAACCTTGTAGCAACCCGGTTCGCTAACCTATTTATTCGGGTTACGCGGGTTGGGGTGTTACAATATCACCCACCCGGTAGCAATGTTCGAAAAGGCGAAACGGAAACGCGCCTCAAGGCACGCCTCGTAACTTTTTCCGGAAAAAACGCCTCAAGGCTAATCCCGTTTTCACGCTATAGGTTTTTTTACGCTATTCTGTGAAAGGCGTACGCCATGGGGCGTACGCGCCGGTGCGCGCAATAAGGCTTACGCAATTCCAGTATTAGAAATTGGAAATTAAACAATTTAAATTTTGGGTATTGAAGGTTTAAGTTGTCAATTACTCCAATTAATTACCCAAAATTAGCGTCGATTACCCTAATCTTTGTCGATTACCTTTTGGCGAGCTACGAACCGTCTCCAGCCGTCCAGCGTCGCCGTCTGCAGTCTTCTTCTCTGGCGAAAAGGTATGCAGTCTTCTTCGCCGTCTGCAGTCTGCGTTTCTTTACTCTTTCCTGCGTTTTATGTTTTGGGTAATTGTTCATTTGTTCTGCGTTTTATCTCTGCGTTTTATGTGATTACTGATTTTGCGTTTTATCTCTGCTTTTTTCCAGTCTTCTTTCCACCTGTTAATATCCTCTTTTTTTTCTTCTTTTTTTGATTACTGATGTGCTAATTGTTCTATTTTTTTTGTTTTTAAGATGAATTATTGCATAGTATCGTATTGTTTATTTTGTTGTTTCAGAAATTAGAATATTGCTTAGATGTGGACCCAGCATGGAAGTATGGTGTTGACTCAACACCCACAATCGAAGGAAAAAAAACTACAAATATGTAAACTGCAATTTTTGTAAAAAACATGTCAAAGGCGGGATTAGTCGATTTAAGCATCATCTTGCTGGTACAAGGAAAAATTCTACACCTTGTGAAAAGGTTCCTGATGAAGTTAAACAAGAAATGTTATCTACTTTGAATTTGGCCACACAAACAAAACAGGTGAACATGAGAAATCGAGAGGAGCTCATTGATAGTGGTGCATACTACCAAAATGCAGAGTCAATTGTTGGTTCATCAAGCGGTGGTAGCAACTCCAATAGGGGAGAGCGCGGTCCAATGGATAGATTTGTTGTGGATGTTAATGTTGACACTCCTGATACTATTCCAGAAAAACCAATGAGCGAAAGAGAAGCTAGAGATAGAGTTTTCCTAGATGTGGGAAGATTTTATATTGAGAATGGTATTCCATTTCATGTTGCAAATTCTCCTTCGTTCATAAACATTTTAAGCTCATCACTTCGAGCAAAATTATGTTTGATTCCATGTTAGACTTTGTTATGTTTGCGATGTATTGCTTTGACAATATACTCTTTTCATGTTTTTGGATTATTTATGTTATACATTATGTTCTATCTTTGGTTTTATATTATTTTGTGAATGTTTTTCAATTTAAAATTGAGGCTTATGCCTCAAAACGCCTCAAGGCTTACGCCTTACGCCATGAAATGAAAACGCCTCAAAACCGCAATACGCCTTTTCGAACATTTGCCGGTAGTTCACTATTCGGTTGGTACGTGATCCGTAAGACTCATAGGATGTATCATCGGGTCTTGTGTTCTGCCTTAAACTATTTATAGTTTAAGAGCCCGGTTACAAATATTGCTTTAGACTAAGAATAGTATAAGAGCTTTGTAATCAAAATGATTTGACTTTAGATTAAGAATAATTTAAGAGCACTGTTAAAATACTGAATATGGAATATTCCATATATCATGAAATGACTCGAATTAACATATTGTGAAAATCATGAATGATGAATGCTTGGATTAAATATTATGTGCATGATATCAAATGATTTGATTATGAATTGAGATTCAAAATATGGATGTTTGATGCATTAGATATCCTTACTCAGCTTTACCGTTGAGCGTGTAGTATGTTTTATTTGCTACACACAGGTAAACAAATGAATGAAGTGATGGTCGGGATGGATGTGTGAATTTGAATTATTGTTCTAAATGACATAAATTCATTGTGTTTGTAATTGTGATTTATTAAGCTTCCGCAACTTTAAAAAAACTCCGTTATTATTCTGAATAGTTTATTATGAAATAAATTTTGAAAATGATTGAAATGTTTTGAAAGTTTACGAATACCAAGTTTATACTTTAGTCCAAAAGGGGCTGCAAACCTGAACGAATTAGGGTGTTACACAATGGGTCTTAAACGCCAGACCTATAAAGAAGCTCATAAGGCGGCGAGAAAAGATGTCGAACGAGCCTATGGGATGTTGAAGGGAAAATGAAACATTCTAGATCGTTCGTCCAAGTGTTATTCTCAAACGAAAATGAGGAATATCATGTACGTGTGTATTATTCTTCATAATATGATCATAGAGAACAACATGTTTACAAGTTGTCATTACAACTTGAACTAAGAGGTGCCTAAGTACACAGAAATCGACAACGAAAAGAAATGAAAAAACCGCTAAGAAATTCGAAGTGAGAGATTCACAATGCATTAACAGCGGATTAGATTAAACATATTTTTAGTCGCTAAAATAACCAGTAATTTCTTTGAAATGTAATAAAATTTTTAATTTTTTATTTATGTCGTTATTATTCAAATTTTATTTTATTAATGCAAATTTTATATTTAATGAATTATTGTCATTTAAATTCAATTAATTAATGAATTTTGATTAATTTAGTTTTACAAGATGCGTATTCAAAATATAAAAAATAATAGTTTAAAACCGCGGAACTTCAAACTCATTTCTAATAAATTTAAGAGGGGATTAAAGCTAATGTGATAGTATTTTAGAGCAATGACAATGGGGTGCCATTTTAGCTGGCACGCTGCCACATAGCATCTGCCTTACGTTCTTCCAAGGTAAGTGAGGCAGCCTCAAGACTGCCACGCTCTATTTTTAATTTTTTAAATTAGGTTAAAAATTTAAAAAATGATTGTGCAGTTTCTAATTGGTTGAATTGTGCCACATTTCTTTATTTGACAATGCTCTTAGTGCTGTTAGGTTGAGCTCAAACACTAGGTGATCTGGATCCCCCTGTTTCAGTGTTAAAGGCTCTCTGTTGCACATAATATCGCAACCCAGGATTCCCCCGGTATGTTTCATCACCACTCTTCTTCATCTCTCCCTCCTTCTATTCTTTGCTTTCCTCTTCCAAATCATCGGCTATTACTTTTTTTTTCGAGTTTCAATTGCTATAAACGAAATCAAACTTTTCCCATGTACCGAAAAATACAAACGGCCAAACAGTTGAGTTTAATGAGCTATATGCGATTCTGGTATTTTAATGTTCGCCTGTTTTTTGAGCTTATATAGTAGTACTCCTTCGAATTATACATACAGGTGTTCTTGCTGCCAGTGCACACACGATGCCTCGGTATGTCTTTTATATAGGGTTGCTCTTGGTTATGATGATTTCATATACTCCAGATCTTAAATTCGTGCATTTAGAATTCCAATTCTTTGTTTGGAAATCATAGAATTAAGGATTCTACAATTGAAATTCCAAATCCGTTAGAATTCCTATGATAATCACTTGGGTTTTGAAGTCAGGTTGATTTCTGGACTTCTGACCTTGTTAAAACATGATATGAATTTGACCCAGTTCCAAATTTGAATTCTACAACTTGTCAAACAAGGGAATTGGACCTATTCCAGATTTACAAATGAAATGCCCTTATACAAACACACTAACAGAAAGGCTTAGAGATCATCCATTTCTCTAATTTTACCTATTATGTTTTCTTCAGGTATTATTGCGATTACTGTGACACTTACTTGACACATGATTCTGTAAGTCACCTTATCCAACTCTTTATTATCATCATTATTATTATTATTATTATTATTATTATTATTATTAGTGTTGTTGTTATTATTCTTATTGTCGTTGTTGTTGTTTTTATTATTATTATTATTATTATTATTATAAAACTTCTTGTTACATCCATCAACTGTTTGCGTTGTTATTGTGAACCTTTTACTACAGCCATCTGTTAGAAAGCAGCATAATTCAGGATATAAACACAAGGTATCATGCCTATAGCTTTTTAAACATCATATACAAAATTTTTCTGATTTCTTGTAATTTATGAGTCTTGTGTTCAGGCCAATGTGAGGACTTATTATCAACAATATGAGGCACAACTTAACCAGAGTCTGATTGACCAGAGGGTCAAGGAGCACCTTGTTGCATTTAGGGCACCTGCCCCTCCTTATGCACCAATGAGACCTGGTCTTCCTATGTTTCCTACCCCAGCACAAATTCCTATTGCAGGAAATCCTCAACTATCAACTGGTAACCCCTTAATCCAAGGAATCCGGCCGCCAGTTTTACCACGGCCACTGTCTGGTGTACCAGGTATAACTGTAAAATTGGCATTTTTGCATGTATATAAGCTCTAAATATTTCTCGTGAGTCGTGACTAATTGCTTTCCATCCACTTCTTTAAACTTCTTTATTACTCCATTCATCCCTAAATAAATCTCAAATGTTTCCTACAACCCTTTTTTGAAATTATCACCGTGTTTTTGTAACTTGTGATTCCTCATTTTTACTTTTGTGAAGAATATGAGATGTTATACTCTTGCATGTCACTCCTGTTGTTCACTCGTGCTTTAACTCATTAAATTTTTTGAAGTTCATGTTTCTACTTTCCACTATCAACTTTCGAGTTTTAGTTATTTATAAAGCTTAGATCATTTTGCACTTCTTTAAAACTAAGGAAATCAACGAGTTCTTTATCCTAAAAGATTTTGAAGTGAAGTTCACGGTTCTATTTATGAGTACAAATTTTAGTTTTGTGTGGGTGTGTTTTGTTATTGAATTAGTTTTGTTTACATTCAAATTTGTTATTTATTTGTTGATTCAGTTTTGTTAATGATTCAATAACAATTTACTGTAAATCAAGATGATCGAACGAGAGTTCTTGCCAACAACACGTAGCGTGGTAATGTTGATGAAGTTTTTCTTTAATAATCATACGATTGATTTGGGAGAGAGTTTGTGAAACTACTTGGTAAAGAAAAGGTAATAGATGGAGCTTCTAGTTACAACATTATGTTCCCATGGAAGAGTTGAAGAGGCACTGACGTGTTCTAAGCAAATGATGAGGTGTTAAAATAAATTAAATTACATTTTTAACATTTCTAATTTTTTAATTTCTAAAGTTGCCGAAGGTTGAAACTTGAGGCTTGGAGTGTATCATTATTCTATTTATGAGTATCATTATTCAAATATTTAAACAATGAAAGTATAAAAGTATATGGAAATCTAGAAACCAATTGTTTTAATAATCCAAAGGTTTATCATTCCTATTGATATAGAGCTATTAGTTCTCTAAATAAGCATTGAAACGATTTTTAGAAATTATCATGCTGGAAGTTTATGTTATGACTTGTGAGTTCAAAGTGGATAACATTAGTTTTGTGATTTAACAAACACACTGATTCATCCAACACAAAGGTAAACAGTTAACATAGGAATTTTCAGTATATACTGAGCTAACTTGAGACTTGTTTTGGTCTCTCTCACTCTCACACCCCCTTAGTTTTATTTTATTCGTTTTGAGCCGAAGGTCTATCAGAAACAATCTTTCCATCTCCTATGGGTGGAGGTAAGGTTTGCACATACATTTTACCCTCCCCGAACCCTTGTGGAATAACACTTGCATGTTGCTTTTGTTGCTGGTTTTGTTGTTGTAGTACTTTTGCAAATAGGTTTGATAGAAAAGTGATTTTTTTTTCATCCAAAAGACTGCCCTCAAATTAATTGCACGCAATGGACCACTTCATCGTTTTGCTTTTCGAAAATAACAGTTTACCCCTGAAGTATGGAAGTCTGTGCACTAAGCTCCTTAACCTTTGCTATATCAAATGGAAAAATACAGTTTGGAACACTAAACTTCTTTTCCATGGTCCAGTGCTCGAGTATAAAGGTCTCCTTCACGTTTGAAAGCTTGACTCACAAGAAGCAGTGAAGGTCTGCCAACTCTCCGGGATTCCTAATTTCTACGAGAAAAAAAAAACAAGAACAAAACATTCAATTTGGGTGTGAGTCGTCGGATCCGAGCCTAGATCTGATTTCGGCACTTCCCATTCGTCCCATTTCTCTATCCCCCGATGTTAATGCCAAATCCTCTCCAGATATTGCGGTTCTGATTCAGTTTCCGCCGTCCCCGACCCGTAGACGTTTTTGGGTCATCAAATGTCACTCTGCCGTGCAACCTAGTCGCATGAAGTAGCAGCTTTGATTCTCAAATTTTTTAATATATCCTTAGTTTTTAACTTTCTTTTTTACATGTTTTCTTGTTGATGCCACTTTTAATTCAACCCCTTCATCCTGAATTAATCATCTCACTTAACTATTTACGGTCATTTTTTCTTTCTTTACCAAATTTTCGTTAAAGGTTTGTTAACCTAACATAGTCATCAAGTTTATAAATATATACTTCCTACGTGCCACGAAACTTTCTAGTTTTGACTTTGGGAAGGAAGCTGTAGAAATTTGACAAAGGGAAAAGGACGATAATCGAAACAAGTAGGGTTTAAAAAATGTCGGAATATGGAGGGCATAGAAAGGAGTTAGGGTATGTTAGGTTAGCTTTAGAAAAAGCAGAGGCATTTATGTCCATTTAGGGATTTTAGGCGAAATTGAAAAGTTTTTTGGGACAAGTAAGAAGAAAGAGATTTTGGGATGGAGGGAATTTTATTTTAAATTTTCAAATATTATTTACATAAATGGAATTAAAGATGAATTCATTCAAGATTGACTATCTACTACTTTACTATAAAAAGAAGTGCAAACAGTTTAAAGAGTCATTATGCTTTATTTCATCATACTCCAAAGCCAAAAAAAGTAGTGAATCTTTGGCTACACCCGAGATGATGGAAATAACTACAATATATAATGTGCTCCCTCCTTTCACAAATTTACTTCCCAGTTTGACCAGGCATGCAAATATATGTAATGTAAAAGTTACATTGACTTTTCTAAAATACCCTCCCTCATCCTCTACCCATACATTGCTCCACCCTCCCCTCAATTGCCACTACAACACTGACCCATACATTGCTCCACCCTCCCCTCATCTCCGATCTCGTCACCGTTCTCATCTCCACAGCTAGTAGGGTTTGACCCATTCAGATCTGTTGTTCTCATCTCAAACATTTCTGGTGTTGCTGCTCAAATCTTAGTCAGATCTATTTGAAGCTCGTGATTTTCGTAGTTCTTGGTGGACTCGATGTGATTTCCGTAAGAAGCAAATTGGCCTCTGTTTTTGGAATCAAGTTGTCACGGCCATCGACAAACATATCTACTTGAAGCTCATTCCATCTGGTCATGCCCCCACCGTTCCCGCTCTAAGGTTGACCTCGCCACCATCAGTCATCGGTGAGCATCTCCATGCCAGATCTGGACCAGAGTCCTTAGATCCGATGGAGCTCTAACGGAGGTGAGACCGAAGAAATGAGAAAGAGCTATGAAACGACTAAGAGGCTGAAACGAAGAAGATGATTTTGAGTTGTTGGGGATGATGGGTTGAAACGAAGAAGAATATGAGAAATGATGAAATGTTGGGTGGCAGTGAAATGTAATGGTGTTTGGGGAAGGAGATGATTCATTTTACAAGAATAACCTTGCCAAAAAAGAAAAAGGGAAGAAAATTTTTAAAAGAATGAAAAAAGTAAGTGAGAAGAAAGTTTTGGGACGGAGGGAGTAATTTATTTATATTAGTGTTACTAATGTACAATACACACACACACACATACATATGTGTGTGTGTGTGTGTATGTATGTATATATCTTTGTGTGTGTGTGTGTGTATTCCGATTGACTGTTCTGTGACTTTTCTAGGGTATGTATCCGGCCCGCCTTTTGTTGCAGCACCTGTTGCCCCCATGCCGGGTCAGGTGAGTAGTTTTTTAAGGCCTCCCTCTATGAGTTCTCCAACTTCACTTCCAGCAACAGGTGCACCTATTGGTGACCATCCAGTGTATGCACCTCCTCCTCCTCCCATGCATCAAGGAGGTATATCTCTTCCAACCAGTGCAGCCGGTGATAGTCCCAGCAACTCTCAGGCACCTCTCAATTCCAATCATCAGTCTGGTTGAGACATAAGTTTGCTTCCCCATGATATGATGGGATGACTGAGGAATGCCTTTGGGAACCCAGAAGAGGGAACGTACAATTCCCCCCCCCCCCATAGGATTTTGACGGGCAAATGTGATTGCGCTATTAATGTACCCGGAGTATTTCTTAAAGTATATACCTCACATTTTTAGCGGCAAGCAAACCTTCCCAACAAAGGGTTAGTTTTCGCTCCAAGTGTCGTGTCTCTTGAGGAGGTTGACGAAGAGAATTAGCTAATTTCTCTAGCTAGGCAAAGGTTAGCACATGTTTATGAAAGTCTTCTTTATACGGTTAAAGAGAAATAATAGCTAAAAATAATTTTATTTTATATAGTATAAGCAAGATCTGGACCTACAATCAGAACATTATATGAGTTAACCATATCACATATAATTAATAGTTCGAACGATAGTATTTCTACCATTACTTACCTATTTCTAGAATTCGTAATGAACCCATTTGGCTTAAATACGAAAACCTTTAATTTCATAGTTGTTATATTTTCCAATATATGAGGATAACCATTCCAACATTAACTAAACATTCAAATTTCAAAGCATATGGCCTAAAGCCCTTTAAATACCAACGAGATTTATTATGGCCCTGTTTGGTAAATGGCATTTTGCTCAGCATTTGGCTTTTTTGACCACAAATGGCGGATTGAAATGGTCAAACCGCCAAATTAATTGTTTGGATGATAGCATTTGGAATTGGCATTTGGAACCCAACTGCCAAAAATTGAAACGCCATCCCTAGGAGCGTTTCATTCGGCAGATCAGCAATTTTCCGTCTCTTACCCTTCTTTTTTTTCGGTTTTCAAGCCATCTGCGATAGAAACGATAGAAGTTCTCTGCAATTTTCTTCACGGCTCTCTGCGATTTTCTTCACGGTACAGAACCGGAAGTTTGCCTCTCTTTCTCTCTACGATTTCCCTCAAGGCACCAGGTATGTATATTTTCATAATTTTTTACATCTAAATATTTGAATTTTTTACATCTTCAAGGCCATCTGCGATTTGGGTTTTTTTGTTGCGATTTTTTTTTGCTGCTGCGATTTTGCTTCTATATGATGTGAGACTGTTTTTTTGCTGTGAATCTGCTTCTCTTTGTTGCGTTTTTGTTTTTGTGGTGGAATGCTCTTGAATTTGCTGCCTTTTTTTGCTTCTCTTTGAAATTTTTGCTTCTGTTTCTGTAGTAGTACAAAAAAAAATTGCTGTGTTTTCTGTTTCTGTAATAGTAAAAAAAAATGTGGTGTTGCTTCTCTTTGAAATTTTTGCTTCTGTTTTTGTGGTTAATTTTTTTTGCTTCCGTTTCTGTAGTAGTACAAAAAACTAACAACTACTTGTTCTACTTTTTGTTGTCTAGTTTTAGTTTTCAAATAAATCACAAAACAAATAACCTAGATCAAAACTGATTTGAAATTGTATATGAATCAAACAAATGAAGTTATATGTATCAATCAATATACTTGTAAAATTAACTAAACTTTTAACTTTAAATTTTATTTANGTTTCTGTAGTAGTACAAAAAACTAACAACTACTTGTTCTACTTTTTGTTGTCTAGTTTTAGTTTTCAAATAAATCACAAAACAAATAACCTAGATCAAAACTGATTTGAAATTGTATATGAATCAAACAAATGAAGTTATATGTATCAATCAATATACTTGTAAAATTAACTAAACTTTTAACTTTAAATTTTATTTATTGTTAGATTATGGCTCCTTGTCATAACAAAAACATCCAAGGATCTCAAAGTGAGAATGAAAACACCAATGACAACAAAGGTGGAAGGATTATTTGGTCAAAAGAATCGGTTTACATCCTTTGTGATCTTTGTATTAAACACGTTGAAAAGAGTAAGGGGAAAAATGGTGGTGTTACTTCTCAAAGGTTAAATTGGAAGAAGATTGAATGTGATTTCCAAAAAGAAGCTAAGCTATCTTGGGATAAACCGAAGTTGAAATCTAAGATTGATTGATTGAGAGCAAGGTGGGTTGTTTGGAAAGAACTTAAGAGAAGAGCTACAGGATTGGGATGGGATCATATAAAAGGGACTATTGATGCTTCTGCTGAATGGTGGGCTCTAAAAATCCAGGTTCGATTTGTTTTTAAGCTACCATATATACATTATCAGTTTTGTAAAAAAATGTATTATCTTTTAGGAGTTACATCAATTATTTTTTTTATTGTTTTGACTTTTAGGAAAACCCTAAGTTTGAACAATTTCAAGATGAAGGGATTGAACCTGACCTTGAAGTGAAATTGGAGCAGATTTTTTCATGTTCGGCACAAGGAAATAATAAGTTCACTCCAGGAAGTCACATTCAAGAGGATGAAAATGCCGAAAGTAGAGTTGGTGCAGGTGTTCATAATAATCTTGGTAGTGAGGGTGATGATATTTATATGCCTATGCCACCTCGTGGGATTTATGATGGTGACACTTTTTATGAGAATGAGACTAATGATGGTAGAGTGAATGCTACAAGTGATTCATGGGAAGAGTTATGGAGTGAGTCTCTACCTCATAATCCACCCGTTGGGCAAGATGAGCGAAGAAAAAGGACTTTTGAGGGTGAATCTTCACAGCCTAATAAAAATGCCCGAACAAGCAATGTGAAAAAGGGAAAGAATGAAAACATTCAAGAAATGTTAGGTGGGATAATGGATGCAATTTCAAAGCGAAATGAATCACTCAATGAAGTCACTACTTTGATGAAGGATATGATAAAAACAACTTCAAATGCTCACATTTCAAAGTTTGATATCGGAGAAACAATGGCAAAGTTATGTTGTTTGCCCAATTTGTCACACACATCTCCTGAGTTCTTATTTGCTTGCTCCATGATTGAAGATCCACAACGAAGAACAATTTTCTTTTCGTTACCCGATGACACTAGCCGGGTTGAGTACATTAAGTTTATGTACAAGAACTCGGGAATGAGTCTAAATTGAAGTTATGTTATGTTTTGTATTGCATTACATTTATTTGAAATTCTGTTATGAGTCGTACGATATGAACTTTTATCTTGTTTTATGGAACTAAAATTCTTTAAATACATGCTTTGAAGTTTGTCATGTTATTTCTTTTTTTATTGGTAATATTACTATTCTTAAACTTAGTTATTATACATAGAGTACAATGTAAATTATGTTGTTTACTTAATGAGTACCTTTTTGTGTGTAGGTATGGACACTACAAAAATGAAAACCACACTTCTCTTATTGTTAGCATATTTAAAAGAGGAGGATGAATTCAGTGATATGATCTCTTGTGTAGCGGGTTACATGACTTGGGTTTGTGCGGATCATATACCTAGAGAGCGATGTATGACTTCATATTTAACAGGTGAACGATGGGTAAATGAGTTATTGAGTGGTCATGAAAAACGATGTTTTAATGCATTGAGAATGGACCAACTTACATTTCGTGAGTTATGTCAACAGTTAGAGGTGAAATATGGCTTAAAATCATCAAATAGGATATCCGTTTTAGAGAAAGTTGCTTTGTTTGTATTTGTATTGAGTATGGGTGCGTCTAATAGAGATACACAAGAGCGTTTTCAACATTCTGGAGAAACCGTGAGCAGAATTTTCAAAGAAGTTTTGAAAGCAATGGACGGATTTTCAAGAGATATAATTCAACCTAAAGACCCTGAGTTCAAGAGCATTCCACCACAAATTGCCAATGATGATAGATATATGCCACATTTCAAGGTATAACCACATTATATTATAGATGCAACTATTTAAACTACTAACAATATCAATTTTATGTATTCAATAGGATTGTATAGGAGCTATTGATGGTACTCACATCGCAATAACTATTCCTGAAGACGAGCAATTACGTTATAGAGGAAGGAAGGGAATACCAACTACGAATGTATTAGCAGTGTGTGACTTTGATATGTTATTCACATACGTTTTAAGCGGTTGGGAGGGATTGGCACACGACTCCCGAATTTTCCTTGACACTATCAACAATGCAAGTCTCAATTTTCCACATCCACCTCAAGGTAATAATTATAAATTTTTTATAATGTTATATTCAAAAATTAAATCAACACTTTTTAATTGTATGCAATTTTAGGTAAGTATTATTTGGTGGATAAAGGATTCCCAGAAAGAGTTGGATATTTAACTCCATACCCAAAAGTAAGGTACCATCAATCTGAGTTTCGTGGTGCAAATCCAAGAGGTAGTCAAGAAGTTTTTAATAAAGCGCATTCATCACTAAGAAGTTGCATTGAGAGAGCTTTTGGTGTTCTTAAAGCTCGGTGGAAGATATTGCAAATAATGCCAAGATATTCATTAATGGATCAAAACAAGATTATTTGTTCGTGTTTTGCTTTGCACAACTATATTCGAAAGAGCACAATTGGTGACCCGGCTTTTCAATTGGTTGATGATGACCCTGATTTTGTACCCGTAGATGTGTTTGAAGATGTTGAAAACCAAGTAGCAAATAATGAGATGGGGATAAGAAGTCAGGAAATGAGAAAGATCCGTAATAATATTACTTCTAGTTTGATGGCGAAAAGATCTCATTAGTAAAAAGTCGAGAGTTTGTCTTATTTTTTGTCACTTTTAATGCTCATGTCGTCTCAAAAAGTATTTGATACTTCAGATTGTGATGCTTGTCTCGCGTAATTTTTTATTTAATGTTTTTAATTTAAAGTTGGTGTAGAGTATCTTTATATATTTATGTTATGATATTTAAAAAAACTATAAAATAAAATATACCATGCACGGTGGTTATTTGTAGAATGACAAATGAAATAAATACAAAAAAAGTCTACTCATAAAATATAAATGTAAATTTTCATTTCTTAAATTATAAAAAAAATGAAGTAGCCTTTTTTGTCCAAAAAAAAAGATGTAGGGATGTCTAGAGTATTTGCTTGTATAATATACGTATTTTATGAAAATTAAAGAAAAATTAAAAATTGCATACAAATTAACATAAATGGAGGGATGTCCTTTTATGTAATTTTACTTACAAACAGCTATTATAAACAGCTAAGCTTGCCAAACACTTAAAATTTAACAGCTAACAGAAACAGCCGGTCAAAACAGCTAACTCAATCAGCCATTCAAACCAGCTAACATAAACAGCCAACAGCCAACAGCCAAGATCCAAACAAGGCCTATAAATAAATTCTAGCATGTAGTCATAGTTCCAATAGGTCTGTGACTCTAATTTAGCATATCGAGATCTCAAACTTTTGCACGGGTTTTGCTGATCCCATCACAGGGGTCTTGTTGTAGCATCTTTTGTGTCACCCTAAAAAATTGCACGAACTCTAGGAGTCTAAATAAAATAAACATCTCCTAACAAATAGAAATTTGTACCTAGTAAAACTCCTTATATATATAAGAATTAATTTTGCCAAAAGATTAGCCAACATCTTGAAACTAATACAAGGGATATGAATAAACCTAACGAAAAAATAAAAATAAAATATCCAAATTTATAGATTTATTCACATAATACAATGATTATACAAAGTAAACATAAGAAAACAAAGAAATTAGCTATCGAAAACTGAGAGAGTAGCGGCCTTCTAGTAGCGCGCAATAATGTAGGTAGCCTAACGGGTAGTGATGATGAGCACACCTGATGCTCTTGAACGAAGGATAAATTTATTAAAAGGCAGCGATGAAATAGAAGAAAGAAAACCAAAAGCAATGAACGAAGAAGGAAAGCAGAGTTGCCGGAGCTCTCCTTAAGATGGTATCGACTGCTTGGATGATGTATTACTCGATTAATGATCATTAACAATCATTGATCTCGCAACAGCCACTATACGAGTTACTAGTCGGTTAATGATCATTTGGTGATCATTAGTCACATCCATTATGATTCGTATATGGTTCAAACTTCGCCCTTTTAAATTAGAGATTACTAGCAAGTTAACTCCATAGTTGGGGAACTAATTTAAAAAAATGTATAGATAGTAGTAGAAGTAAGTAATGTTCAAAAAGGATAGTGTCATCACCCTCAAGACGAGAGTAAGTAGTCAAGAAGGTTCCTAAATGCCCAGAGCTTGAGGCCCGAGCCGTGGCCCGTGGGAGTGCCAAGCCGAGCCAGACCGACGGAGAAGTGCACATAGACTTTCTTTTTGTAATGCATTTACTAAGCTTTTAAATGCTCCCGCTTATATAGTGGAGCATTTATAAGATACATTTTCAATGATGTATGGAAACTCAACAATTTTCTTCTACTCAACAGGTCTACTTTGACTTATCAATTTCTCATTTACTTATTAACCAATTTTGGCATACAGTTTATCAAAAGAACACACTATTATTATATAACAATCCTAGTATCATCATTAAAAAGGAAAAGGTAGGCATTTGTTTTAATCATTTTATATTAGGGTTTATTATATGCTTGCTGTTATGCTTTGCCATAAACTTATATAAGCATCAAACTGCATCCTATTGCTCATGATAAGTTCAAGGAGAAAGTCATACCATTACTCCTAGAGTTTCACAATTTCACATAAATACTCCGAGAGTCAAATAAATGACATCAATGCTTCCAAATTTTCACATGTTTACGTCGGTGCTTTCAGAATTGATATATGTTTATATATAGTACATGCTCCAAATGTTAAGGCATCAATGTAAACAATGTCAATAATGGAGTACCGATGTAAACATACAAAAATTCTAGAAGCATCGATGTCATTTATTGGATGTCGAAGTATTTATGTAAAATCACACAATTCTGGGAGTAATGCTGTGATTTTTTTCTTCAATTGAATCCACATCAATATCGGTGTGTGATGGATCTTCCTTCGTTGTCCCAACCTTGATACCTGGGGTATCTATTGGAATATTTCTAGGAAGTTAGTTTTGTGTCAAAATTTCCTCCATTATATGTACTTTAATTTTTTGCACTTATTCATATTAACAATGCCACTTATCATCCCATATGATGAACAATTTATATTTGCTCTTCTTAAGATACTGTTTTAAAGTGTAATGTGTTCCATATCTATCTGATGAAATTTGCCTCTGCCTCCACTAGTATGTGCGTTTTGTGACACAAAGTTATCAATAGTTTTGGCGTACAATATATCAAAACAGTTGCCTCACTTTGGAAACACTCTTTTATTAATTACCAATAAAAACTATTAGGCTTTGAAGGCATCAATTATGAAATAATTTTTTTATATATACATTATAATTTTTGTTTCTATACTAATTTCTACATAAAATGAATTTCATCCACTTGTTCACTTGTTCACACCATACGTATACACCAACAAACATTCGAAATTGCCTTAATGACAAACCGCTCTATCATGATTTTCCTGTTCATAGGCCGGTTGAAAAAGTTTCTTTACAGCCGACACTTCGTATCCCTGAGATTCAAATCGGCTATACATATGGTGATTTTAAAAGTTTGCAATTTGCTGTGTCACTTTGCAATATTGCGGAGCATAGACACTATTGCACTTCTTCAAAGCGTTAGAGTTATTGACTTGCGAAGTGCTCGTATCCGGACCAGTGCCCATGGCTCATTCAGGCTGTTGAGGTTGCTTCTGTTTGGACGGTCAAACAATACAGAAGTCAACATTTATGTCGACCTGACTACTCGAAAGAAAAGGATGATAAACTTATTACAAGCGATCTCATTTCTGGGATTATATTCTCCAAAATTGTCGCTGATGCTGATTATAATGTGAGGTATATCATTAAAGATGTGTATGACTTACTTCAACCTTTTAGTTGACTAATGTATGACCTTTTAGTTGTCTTAAATGATGAATCGTAGTTTTTTTGAAAAAATATTTGTGGCTTACTCATATGCATCTTGTTTATTTCTCTTTGGGATTTTTTTGCAAAGTACATAAATAATGAGTTTATGTTTGATCAAAACGGCAATCGATTTGATCCCAATCTGATCTCTGTCCCGGTCGATATTTACAGTTCCAATCTCTTTACTCTTTTCTAATCTCAACCTCCTTTGGCATGAATGACTCATCAAGTATTCGAAGCTGATGCCGTCCATTGGAAAGTGTAACTCAACAATTTTCTTCTATTCAATGGGTCTACTTTCACTATCAATTTCTCATTTACCTATTAACCAGTTTTGGCGTACAATATATCAAAACAGTTGCCTCACTTTGGAAACACTCTTTTATTAATTACCAATAAAAACTATTAGGCTTTGAAGGCATCAATTATGAAATAATTTTTTTATATATACATTATAATTTTTGTTTCTATACTAATTTCTACATAAAATGAATTTTAAGACTCCCAAGATTTTGTTTGTAGTTTGAAATGTGTAACCAATATGAAATGAAGGGAGCATATGGGGAGTATTAATGAAATAAATGCAAACTTTAACACAAAATCAATAATTAACTAAAATTAACTTCTTTGAATTCAACTAATCACTTCTGATTTTACGGAGTAATAAAATAACGTAGAAGAATAGAAGCAGGTCGTGTTTTTAAATCATTAATTTTCGTATACGGTTCGAGTCTAGCCTTGGTTTATCTATTTTTTTGGGTAGTAGAGCTTCTCCAATGGTATCATATACTCCCTCCGTCTCCCATAAATCTTCTCATTAACTCTTTTTTTTGTCCCTCATAGATCATTTAATCACCTTTTTTTAACAATTAAAATATCACAACTACTTCCACTTACTTTATTTATTGCACCTCACATACTTCATTTAATGCACTCCACCCATTTTCATTAAGAGTATTATGATAAACTTTCACTTTTTTTCAACTTTCCTTAAAAACTATAAAAAGTCAAAACGAAGAAAGTATCTCACAATTTAGTGCTGACATTTCTCCAACAATCCGCCAAATCCAAACCCTTTTTGGATTTAATTCCCGGATAGTGCAGCAAACAAAAAAGTGTTCCGAGAGAAAAATTATTCAAACGGTAGACAATCTACCGTTTCGTCATTTTAAAAAATTGTTTAATACGAAACGGTAGAACATCTACCGTTTTCGTCATTTTAAAAAATTATTTAATACGAAACGGTAGATGATCTACCGTTTCGTCATATTAAAAAAATTATTTAATATGAAACGGTACTTCGTCTACTGTTCGAATTAATTTTCCAAATTAAAATAGATCCACACCATAGAATTCACCTAACTCGATTTTATATCATTCAATCCAACTAACACCTAAAAAATTCTACACCACACAATCAACCTAACTCAATACATCTACCTAATAAAATATCTCATCTAACATAATTAATTTATCAAACAAAAATATCTCACCTAACATAATAAAAATCCTGCACCCAATTCATATTATCTACTATATATTTAACACTTACTCTCACACTCTTACCATTTAAAAATTATACTTTCAAATATCTACTCACTACTTTTCTTTGCATTCTCAAAAACTGGCATCTGATGGTAATTTTATCATTCTAGCCTATTGGAATGGTGAGCTAAAAATTGAAAACAATGAAGTAGATTACTCATTGCATTCAAACAAAGCTTTTGTGCTTGATCTTGATGTCTCATTCGATGAGTTCTTCAATGAACTCCTTGATGCCATTGCCGATGATAATCTCAATTCAATCAAGAAAATTTGGGGAAAATATCCCAAATACAAGGATGGAGTGTATGCTGCATCACGTCCTTTCCTAATTTCCAACGAACGAACATGGAGGTGTTTCGTTCAAAAAGCAACCAAGCAATATGATGAACTTGAAGTAGACCTAGAGGCACTATATGTTGAGGACCAGGTTCACGAAGAAGAAAAAATAGTTGTACCCCAAGAAGAAGAAATAGATGAAGAACAACAACAACAACAACACCATTACCACCACCAACATCATGAAGAACAACAATGGGAATCAAATCCTGTTTGGTGGGGTGAGGCAGGGCCGTCTAACACGGCACACGAAGTGGGGGATGAGAGCGACCCCGACGATCCTATGTTCGTTTTTAATTCTGATGATGAGAGTTCTTCAGATGAGTCTGAAGTATCTGGATGGGTCTCTATGTACACACCATACGTATACACCAACAAACATTCGAAATTGCCTTAATGACAAACCGCTCTATCATGATTTTCCTGTTCATAGGCCGGTTGAAAAAGTTTCTTTACAGCCGACACTTCGTATCCCTGAGATTCAAATCGGCTATACATATGGTGATTTTAAAAGTTTGCAATTTGCTGTGTCACTTTGCAATATTGCGGAGCATAGACACTATCGCACTTCTTCAAAGCGTTAGAGTTATTGACTTGCGCAGTGCTCGTATTCGGACCAGTGCCCATGGCTCATTCAGGCTGTTGAGGTTGCTTCTGTTTGGACGGTCAAACAATACAGAAGTCAACATTTATGTCGACCTGACTACTCGAAAGAAAAGGATGATAAACTTATTACAAGCGATCTCATTTCTGGGATTATATTCTCCAAAATTGTCGCTGATGCTGATTATAATGTGAGGTATATCATTAAAGATGTGTATGACTTATTTCAAGTATTAGTAACATACAAGAAATGTTGGTTGGCTAAGTCAACAGCAATTCAACGGTTATATGGATCATGGGAGGATTCATATAACAAAATATTGCCTTTACTAGCAGCGTTGATGCAAAATAATCCCGGATCAGTGGCAAAGATACAAATGTGGCCTACAGCTTCACCTAAAACGTTTGAATTCATGTACGTTTTTTGGTCTTTCAAGGCATCGATTGACGGGTTGAAATTTTGTTTTCCTATTGTATCTGTCGATGGCACCCACTTATACGGGAAATATAAGGGAGTCCTGTTACTTGCAGTATCAATGACGACAAATCACGAGATTTTCCTGTTGGCTTATTCACTTGTTGACAAAGAAGATGGTGATAGTTGGAGTTGGTTCATGATGCATTTAATGCGTCATGTATTACTCGTTAACATGTCAGTGTGTATCATTTCTGACAGGCATGGGGGGATTGATGTTGCATTCAATACAATCCCCCAATTAAAAGAACAACGTGTCACCCGAAGATATTGTTTGCGGCACCTTAGAAGTAATTTCCAGAAGAAATTCAACAGCAAGAAGCTGAAGGACTTGATGTATCATGTAGCTAGTACCCCAGATGTAAATGAATTTAATCGAACAATGCAACAAATTCACACACAACAGGTGGAGGCATATGACTGGTTGATGGCTTTACCATTAGAGAAGTGGGAACTATGTTGTGAGGGTGGGGCTTGATATGGAATCCTGACTACAAATCTTTCTGAAAGCTTCAATCACGTGCTTAAGGGATGCCGGTCTCTTCCGGTATACGCTATCGTGAAGACTACCTATGAAAGATTAGTCAAATTATTTGCAGACAGGCGGACAGACGGATTTACATGGCAACAAGCGGGGTTTAAGTTCCCTAAGTATGTCTGGAACGAGGTCAGACGCATGGAAGACAATCGTTTGCATTGTCATGTTATCCCTCATTATCCGCAACTAGGGATTTATCGAGTCGTTGTTCAGGGCAATGTTGGAGCTGCTAGTAGAGTAGATGAAATAATGGTACAATTAGGCTAAAAATTGTGTAGTTGTGGGAAATGGGCCACATTGCACATGCCATGTGTCCACGTCTATGCCGTGTGACGTTATTGCAATATCACGGTTGATGATTTTGATTCCATCAGTATTCTCGATTCAGAGCTACGTGAATGCATACTCTGGAAATGTTATGCCGCTCCCGAATGAAATGAAATGGCCTAATCTTGATTACGAGTTAGTGCGACCAAATACGGGGCAAAGGTCTCAGGTCGGTCGTCCAGTGACCACCCGTTTCACTAATAACATAGATGTGCGACCGCGAAGGCGTCGTTGTGGTACTTAGTTCATTTAGGAATTTCTATGTGTGTTTTTTAGATATGTGCAACATTGATGTTTTCTTACTTAAGCAGTTTGATTTTTAAATTTCTGTACTTTAAATATGTGTGATTATTAATATTTAGTACGAGTAGTTCGTTTTAATTTATGTTTTAAATTGAATGCTTCTGTACTTTAATAATTCTTAAGATGTTCTTTAAAAAATTTATTTCATTGTTCTTTAAACTATTTTTTAAAAAAATCTTTTCAATAAATTCTACTACCTCCGTCTTTTTCGAGTCAAACTGGACAAACTTTGAACTCCAATTACTCTCAATTTATATTACATATTAGCATAATGAAATATAATTTTGAAAGTTCTCAATAAGATAAATCCAATAAAGTTATTTTTATGTTAAAATACATTACCTTTTTTATTTAATTGAAGCTCAAAATTTGTCCAGTTTGACTCAAAAAAGTCAAACTGGACAAATACACTGAGACGGAGGGAGTATATAACAGTATAAAAATATAACATACAATTAACCTAACATAATAAATTATACTTTTTATTTTCGTTGTAGCGCATTTGACGGTTTCACAAGATTATTATGTATAAATGAAAATATACATATGTACGTGGATCTAAATCTATAAAATATTTTTATTTAAAAAATCCATTTACATTTTTTTAAAACAACAAAAAATAAATACTTAATTTTTTTAAATTAAAAAAAATAAAATAATGACCAAACGGTTGATGATCTACCGTTTGAAAAATTTAAAAGACGAGACCATTTCAAAAAAAAGTCAGATTGCCCTTTGGGAATGGAATTCCCATTTCTTCACTGATTGGGAAATGACGCGGTTTTAGTTTCTCTTTGGACCATGCTACACTTACACAAAAAATTGTACCCCATTTGTACACCACAGTTATACACAAACATTTTGATGGTTTACATCGACACAAGTGTTGATGTGTTAATAAAAATTTACACGGACACAAAGTGTTAATGCGTTAACAAAAATTAGTTTTACACCAATACAAAATATCGGTGCAAACCTGTGGCATACAAATGGGGTACAAAAGCTTGAGGTACAAATACCATGCTTTCTCTTTCTCTGGAAACGCATATATGCGTCTGCACTATTCACTCCTGCATTTCCTTATCTTTATTTTTTTTCTTCGATTCATTATAGTCAATACTCACTCTTCAATAAATTATTACATTGTACTGTCGCTTCTTTTGCATTGATTTATTTTTGCTCATACAATTTCTTATTCCCTATTAATTACCAGAGTACTTCATTTTTAAAAATTTGTACTCGGTAATGTTCAAAATTAGTGGAAAAAATAATAATACAGAGTATTGTAAAAAACAAATTTTCGAGTTTGAATTTGGTATAATAGGTTGGAGATGAATGACCGCTTAATATTTATTATATTTTGGGTTTGAATTTAGCATATATGATTGGAGATGGTCTTAGTGCATTTCGGGTTTGTACTGCATTCTGAATATGAATTTAGTGGAACAGTTGGGGATGGTCTTATGATGTATAGCATGATAAACCAAGGTTTCTCAATTGGGTCTAGATCTTGGTTATCCCATCCTAACCGGGACCATATACTTTAACCACAAATCCTGAACAATCCGACCATTTACTATGTTAATGGGCACAATACACAACAATAAGGTGGAACCCCTATCTTGAGTGTCCCCACACCCATGCCCCAAGATTGATAAAGTAGTTAATTAGCTAGATGTATTGGCTAGAGACAACATGATTTTTGTCATGGTTAACCTCACCTACAAGGAGGCAGGAGCCAAACTCAAAGAGACACCTCAGGAACTCCAACCCCCACCCTATAGGTCACCTGCAAGGCTCACCAACTACCTTTGCCAATTGAACTATGCCCCAGGGACAAAACTTTGGTGGGTAAAGTTTTTATACTAGTCGCGGCCCATTGCATTGCGACTCCACCACAAGAAACCCAAACCTCTGGATTGAACCTACTGATTTGTATAACCGCTTGCCCCTACTCGTTTGGTCATACCCTAACTAGGGCTGGAATTTTTTGAGAGCGTGTGTACTAGTAAAACCTATGAAAATGAAGTCTAAAGGGTTGTTCTTTTCACCTGATCTGACTTACTTTGATCTGATTGGAATAAGTTATGATCTGATCTGGTCTGATCTGATTCTAATAAGAATAAGTTATAAGTAATAAGAATAAGTTGAAGAGAACAAGCTCTAATTCTCAAACCCACACACGACAATAAGTATTACATGTGTGCAATACTAATCAAGTGTAGAAAGATTGAGAAACTCTAGGGTGCCCCTTACATGCCCCAAGCACACCAACAACCTCACAGATCTTTGTCTGCGTGTTTAGGACTTTGGCGCACAGTAGCATATCTGAAAAATAAATATGGGCCTATGGCAAGAAAACAATGAAACCATAGGGCAACAGAATCTTGATTTCAAAGGTAGACCCCGAAACTGCATTGATGACAATTTGTGACTCTTGTTCACAGAAATAAATAGTGCTCACACTTAGCTGGAGATACAACACCACAGAGAACAATCAAACCCAACCCTGGGAAAATTTCATCTAAATATTACTCCGTACATGCCAAGCCGGTGCATATTCATATTTCATAGTTAGGAAGGAAAATTTCATCTAATGTTGAGATTTATGCAAGGCAGGCCGCAAGGGAAAAGTATATACCTGGCATGGGCATCTTACACTTAGCTGGCCAAGCTGTTTACTTTGAAAACCCTACAATACAGACAGTCGCCTGAGCCAGTCCCACCTTATCGGTTTGATTCATCCTCAGCTGGCATTATCGTTGCCTTTACTCGCTTACCTTGGCATCCCTGGTATGTAATCTCATACACGTAAAATAAAAAGACTATGAAATGACCGATCCTGAAACAACTAGCGACGAATAGGCCAAACCCAACTAAACCCAATACCAACCTTCTTGTTTAGGAAGGATTTTCTGAAAATTATGTACTTCAATTAATACTATGATGACACATTATATATTCAAATATTTTAATGTGGCAAACAGGTTGGTCATGTTGAGGTAAGCTATTATTTTCTTAAAGTATAAAGTGGTAAAAACCATGTTAACATATTTTTTTCTTCTAAATCCATTTTCAAATATGCATTTTTCTTTTCTAACGCGTCTTTTATTAATAGTTTACTGTTTCTTTAGTTCTTTTGAACTTCATATATTTAATTTTTGGAGTAAATTCTATAAATAGTCCCTGATTACAAGTGGTTTTCCATATTTAGTCCACAATTATAAGATATTGAATAAATGGTCATCAATTTTTGAAAAGTATTCCATAATCGATCCTTCAGAGACTATTTGTAGAGAATATATTGTCATATTTGGCTAAGGACTATTTAAGAAATAGTTTTCAAAAACTAAGGACCATTTATGTAATATCTTATAATTGGAGACTAATGGACGCCTAGGCAGACGCCAAATTGCCTAGGCTACTAGAAGGTACTCTGGCGTCTAGCCTCGCCAAGTGACCCTAGTCGCCGTAAAAACTACGGAAATAATAGCTTTGATGGCAAGAGAAGTATCCAGAGTACTCCGTATAATTTAAATCTAGTTGGGCTACTATTTCCCTACCTTCACTTGTTTGGTATATTTGGTAGGCCTGAACATAATTCCGTGTATATAAAAAAGATGATCATTGTAGAGCAGGCGCCGGGTGATTGAAGATGTAGTGGAACTTACCGAAGCCTTTTGACCGGCTGTCGGCCTCCTAGAAGAAGGTGCTCGAGCGACAAATGAAGCTGCTGCTGCTGCTGCAACGCGTATTCTGAAATCATAATAGTTCCAAACAGGCCTTAAAGTACTACCAGGGGGGTTGATGTGCTAAACTAACATAAAATATTCAGTCAATGTTAAAGGATGGAAATGAATGGCAAGCCAGAATACAAAGTCAATCCTTTTACCTTCTATGAACATCAATATAAACATCAGTTTCATCTACAATTTCCTCCTGCACTCAATAAAATACGGTAGACATGAATGAATTATAAAAGGCAGACGAGTAGATCTAAAGTTCTCCAATTTAATAATTTCAGTAATTTACAAACATGGACAGAAAAGGATTACTTGCAGAAGTTCTTCAAAAACATCTTCTAGAGTGATGATTCCAATGACTTCTCCATCGCCAAAATCCTGAGAAAGATCAGTAGAATCTTTTGTCACTGCACCATTTTGCTGCAGAGTGCTTTCCCTACTTGTTGTGTTCTCCAGTGACCCTTTATAAACATTTATCACAATACTTTCTGGCTTTTCGGTATGCTTCTTCAACAATGGTAATGATAATTGTGATTCTCCATTAATTTCATTCCCAAATTTGGTGTCTCCAAGTTTCTCCCTCTCACGGTTATGGTGAGACTCATATTTCCTGCACACTTTCACTACAGCTGCCATGTGACTACTGCCCTTCTGAAACTCATTGAGAATATCATACAAGGGCATATCTGCTGGTACCCTGGAACATTGGTGTGCAATAATTTCTTTGGACTACTGAACCTCCTTGACAAATAAAAAGGTAGAAAGAAATGGGTATGTGACAAACCTAGGCATCCTCCTGATGGAAACGGCACTAACCGGAGTCTCTGTTTCTGCCCGTACAGTAAGCAGACTTTTCACCTGTATTGCACAAGAAAAAGAAACTCAAAACAGAAAATTAATCCTCCGATATGTAATTTTAAAACATCATCACATATGCCATGGAATCATAATCTTTGAATCTCATACAGACCAGTAGAAGTCCAATAATATTCTTCGGATTCCCCGAATAAACAGGAACACGACTATGACCTCTGGCAAGAATTTTCCCTATTACTTCCCTGTCCATGTGCAAGGTAATGTTAAATAGGTGGTTCTAGACTTCCAAAAACAAACTAGCTCAGGCAACAGGCAAAGGAAAACAAGAGTACTTAATGTGATGATTTTCAACTTATTCAGAATTTTGTCTAACTATAGTGTCGGCTGTCAATGAACTGGTCTTACTCTTATCATATAGTTCAGAATGTTGGGCTATTAAGACGAATCTAATGAAGAGGATAAGTGAAGCACAAATACCTAATTAAGATGGATGCCCTGTAAGGGTAGAAAATACAGTGTTTGTAGATTCACACAAAGTGGGATTAAATAATTAATTTTCTATTGAATGTGAGGCAAGTATGGATTGACTGTTAGTTTGGGCACATTGTTGTGGAGATGCAAGTGCTCCTGTACAAAACAAAAAAATTTGAGTAATGAAACACTGAACTTTTACAACACAGAAGAGACACCAAAAACAACATGAATTGAGAATTTGCTCCGGTACAAAAACAATGGAGTATTGAAACACGAGAGTTTTATAAAACATAAGAGAGACCGAAAACAACATGAATTGAGAATTTGAAAAAATGACAATGAGAGGGAGAATAACTTACCAGTTCAACTTTGAATTGACATCAAGGGAAAAGGTAGACTCAATGGGAGTCATAGCTTCCTCTGCAGTCTACACATATTTTAGATTACAGAGGGTCACAATTCATCTTCTGGAGTATGCACTATGGAGGGATTCCACAGAGGCAATTGAAAATTGGGGAGGATATATAAGAGCAAATAATTGGAGCCTGCTGGTGCTTTCATGAATTTCAAATTACAGCACTGGCACAAAAGGTCTATATAGATTCATTTTTTTATTCTTTTAAGCATTAGATTATCAAATCAAATAACTTTTCAGTAGAAGGCCTGGAATCACCCATATTAGACGTGTGGGAGAGAGAGTTCTGAGAGAAACTAAACTTCCAAGTACTGTATTGTTATTACAATGCGGCCGCGGCTTACCTTTTCAGTCAAATCGAGTGCTCCACTGATGATGGTAGCTTCATCATGTGTTAATTCACCGCCTTTTCCGGCCTAAATGAAAGAAGAATTCAGTGATTATTTTATGAGATCAGCTAAGCTACAGCACGAAAGTATTACAAAATTACAATAATGCTTAATTTCATCATCATAGGGTAAAGGACCAATCCATTTAATACCATGATTCATAAACTATCAGTGAAATGTTTTTCAACAGTATTTAACTTTAATGGTGAACGAAATTTACCTCCTGGCTGTGGATAGAAACAAGGGCTTTAAGTTGAGCACGCCGGAACAAAGAATCACCATGTCCCAATACTAAGTCAAGAACCTGAATCACCACATCAGTATTGCATAGACGGACACATATTACAAGCATTTGCAAAAAAAGCAATGCATTCTAGACTGCATGGAATTCATATTTACACCCCATAAAGGTATATGGTAGACAGCTTAATTTACCAAAAAATTGGACAATGCATATTGAAAGTGTGTTCTCTTATCTTTAAGACAAGAATCAATGAATAACAAACACAACAACCCAATTGGATCCCACACAAGTAGGGTCTGGGGAGGGTGTGTACGCAGACCTTGCCCCTACTCAAAAGTAGAGAGGTTGTTTCCAAGAGACCCCCAGCTCAAGCTGCACGGATAAAAAGATTACAGGAGATACAACATGAATCAATGAATAATTTATTAAAGTGCATTATAATGATCATTATTTTCCTCTACATTTTTTTGCAACATAAGGTGCAACTTTCACAAAAATCAATGTGTTTTTAACACTAAATCCAAAATATTGAAATGGCCATTCATGTCCTCCACAATATGCAAAATGAGGTGAACTACAAAATATGAGGAAACCCCTTTTCATGGAGTTCTAAAGAAACGCAAAACCAGCACATTATTCTGCACCTTCCATATTGCAGCAAGAGATGCATGAAATTTACCTTTCCAATTGGGTAAGCAATCGGAAAGCAGATAATCATCAAAATACGCACAAGCCACACAAAACTTGCACCAACAGCAAGTCCATATCTAGAGCATACTGCCTGTGGAATAATCTGGAGCATAAGATTAAAAAAATGTTAGTATGGTTTTGGAAGGATATATCTTTGCTTTCATGACCGGAGGAAAATAATCAATAAATACAGTACCTCACCAAAGGCTAAAACAAGAGTTACAGAGAGAACAACAGCAACTACCGGATGAAAAAGTTTGTCCAAGTATATGGGAAGAGCCTGCGGTTCACATGAGAATGGAAATTCCATTAGCAAATCTTTGATTCAGTTGTGACATTCAAGCTAATTACTTTATTTGGGTAAGTCTCTAATCTCTCTAGTATGGTTATATAAAGTTATCAGTATTGCCAAATTTAAAATCATGATCTAATTTCTTCCACGGTAATTCAGTATGAAAAATGAAAAATCTCAATTCTTTAAGCCACATTAATGCTGTTCCTGAACCATAAGGTATTTAATTTAATAAAGATATAGCAATACCTCCATGGAAGCAGCATTACACAAAAGCAAGGTAACAAGAAGCTGGTGCTGTTTTTTAACTACGGGCAGAATGGTTGCTGGAAACAAAAAGATTAGTCATTAATCCCAAGAGCTACTTGGCAGACATAATAGAGATCAAATTGCAGCTGTTCGAGAATGGCATACTCAAACATGAGTTATGTTGACACAACCTGACAACCAAACAAATTGATTAGGCTTTTGAGCCCCAATCGATGATCAAATCCCTAAAAAAATAAATAAACATTTTCCCTGGTTTGAGCGGATGACTGATTATCAGTCGGAACCAGCACATACTATGATACCACAAGCTAAAGTCCTGGCTCTCAATTGTGCAAATTTGAACAAACGGAGCTCCGTCCATTAAAATTAACGTTGTATTTTGTTTTCAAATATTTAGGACCGGAGAAAGAAGCAACAGTGTGAGACAAATACGAGTAGATATGCGGAGCAAAAACTGCTAGTAAGAGAGAAGAACCAGCTTGCTTCTTCTCGGAAGAGGTTCCGCTGCGCCGGAGAACTTCGAGGTCGACGGGACCGAGAGACATCAAGCCCAAGGTGAGGCCGGACATGATGCCGGCGAAGAGTACGAGGAAGCAGGAAACGCCCGCGTAGACGAACCACCACGGGTTGCCTAACTCGATGTCCTGCGAATCAACCGTGAAAATGCCCTTGGGGGCGGCGCTAGCGGCCAAGGTTATGGCAATGGCGTTTGCCAGCATCCCCATGGAGGAGAGGAGAGGAGAGAGTCCACAGTGCAGTGGCTGCAATAGGAGAAGTCTGTCCTCTTTCTTCTTTCTGCTTCCCTCCAGTCGTCTTTTTTATTACTCCCTCTGTCCATTACACTATTCACTTTGTTTGCTCATTTTTACTAGTCATTTTGTAAAATAATATAGTCTTGTCATCTCTAGTTTTGTAGAACTTTTCATGTAGTTTATTACTATATAAATTTTATTTTAAAATTTTACTCCTATAATCAATTAAATTGAATTGAAAAATAAAGTTGGTCAAGCCTCGTAACGCGTAACAGGAAGATCTTAGGTGGATGGAGGGGGTATTATTATTATTATTAGGTGGACGACCACCCAGCAGCACTCCCAGCAGGTATGGCTAAAGGGGGAAATAATCCAACAAACCAAGAGAGATTCGTTGTTTCATGAAAGCTACTCTTTCGCGTCCAAAATGGGATACTTTGCAAAGTGTGCAACCAAGTAGTCATAGATTGTCTAGCATGATCTTTTTGGATACATCCCCTTGAATATTCATTGTCGAGCAATTGAATACTCCCTTTATCCATCATAGATCTTCTCGGACACTATTTACAGGGTTAAACTTAATTTACTTTGTTTGCTTATTTTTACTACTCGTTTTATAAAATAATATAGTCTTGTCACCTCCAGTTTTGTAGAACTTTTCATGTAGTTTATTACTATATAAATTTTACATTAAAATTTTAACTCTATATTCAAATAAATTGAATTGAAAACAAAGTTGGTCAAGCCTCGTAATGCGCAATGGAAAGATCTTAGGTGGACGGAGGGAGTACTTATTTTCAAATAATGTAATACTCATTTTTGAGTTGCTGAATATTCATTTACAAGTATAATTGATGAATTTTAGAAATATGAATATTTAGTTGCTCGAAAATAAGTATTCAATTGCGCGAAAATAGGTATTCAATTGCTCAAAAATAAATACTCACCACGGATGTACGAGAAGTATTGTACAACCAGTTGTACAATATATATTAGGGTAGTCCTAGGGTGTAAAAAGGTCATCCGGTTTGATTCTTAACAGAAATAGTATGGAATATTTTATATTTTACATATTGATTTTACTATGGGAGTTATAGTCCTTTTATTTTCTTTGCATTTATTTTACTCTTGGAATCCTTGCCATAGTTTTATAAGTAGCTTGTGTTGCTTAATGAAAAGATGTGCAATTATTCTCATTAAGATGGTACTAAAGGAGGGATGCCTAAGGCTATTCTGCACCACTAAAACTTTTCTTCTTCTTTCCGACCACACGACCTTTTCTTTATCGTTCCGCAGGGCTTGATCTTCTACATCACCAAAACTTTTCCCTCTTCTTCTCGTTCCGCAGGGCTCGATCTTCGATGAAATCTTCCAAAACCACTGTTCTTCTAAATCCGTGTGACCTTTGATCCGAGAACCTCTTCTAAATATCACTTCATCATATATTGTTAAATTAACTTCCTCCAACTACCTTTTCTAGAAGAATCAGTTTGAGAAGCTTCTTCTTGGTTATGATCTTCTACAATATATTCAAGACGATTACACTCCACTTCTAGAGAAGATTTTGTCTGTAGACGCCAGCAAGGTGACATCCAGCGTCACTTGGATCCCAAATCTTGCGTTTGAGACTCATCAATGTCATGATTGTTTAATCTTATCTACAATTATGGGTTCCCTTACTTCTGTAGTTGGATCATCGGTGCAAAACATTAGACACTTCCAAAGAGGAATGGTATACTCTTCGCAATACCTATGCAAAACCGAGCAAGGAACATATTAAGCAACTCAAAGATCAACTAAAATTAACCGTCTAAGGTACCAAAACATTTACTAAATATTTATGTTGGTTCATAATAAAGTTGATGAATTGTCTTTGTTGGGGAAACCTCAAGATCATGAGGATGTTATTCAGAAAATTTATGATGGCCTTAATCACGCATATAAGTTTGTGGTTGATGGTGCAAGACAACCCTATTTCAATTAAAAAAATTGGAGGAGAAATTGATAAATATGGAGGTGCCAGACAAGCCTGCATGCCATCTACTTCGACAATATTGGTGCTACCTACTTGTGCTCCAATTTGCTTTTCCATTATCAAATGAAGCACATTGCATTTGATTTTCACTTTGTTCAGGACCTAGTACAATCTGGGGTTCACTAGGTTTCACATGTCGCTGGTGCTGATCAGTTAGCTCATGTCTTGATGAAGCTTTTATCCCGTGTTCCATTTCTTTGTGTTGTGTCAAGATTGTACTTTCCTCTTACTGCACGGGCATATAGAAGTTACATCAGTTTTGAAGTCCTTTTATCCTTTTGCATTTATTGTACTCTTTTAGAATCCTCACTATAGTTGTATAAGTAGCTACTATTGCTTAATAAAAATGTGAGCAACTATTTAGATTAAGATGTAGTTGGGACTAGAACATATCCTAACCCTTAATGCTTGCTTAAGATTATGGATTCATTTACCTACTCTCAAATAACTATCTAGACAAAGCCTGAGGGGACCCTATAATAAGGTTCATCCTTTTTTTCTACTTTACCCTCAACAAAAATTACATGTTAGCCCCATAATTGGTTCAATCAATTCAATACATTTTTAGTAGACCTGATCTACCCTGGGTATTCGACCCGCCCCAAAAAGACTTGTCCATAAAAATAAGGACTTAGGCTTGCGTTTTAGTATTTAGATGGTGTCATAAATTACGGGGCCCACAAGTATTGATGGCGAGGTATAGTTAGTAGTGTTATTGGAGCTTTTGGCTTACGAGTTAGTGCTTGAAAATGGAAGATTATAAAAATGATGTTATACTAGAGTGTTGTTGCAATGTTTGTTTGGCCATCAAGCCAAATCCATCGTGGAAGAGGTTCATGATGGTATATGTTCCATACATTAGGACCTTACAATATGGCTCGGAGGATCATGTTGTTGGGGTGTTTTTTGCCAAGGATGAGGAGGAATAGAACTGAGAGTGCAAAAAGTATGTAGTGTGCTAATAATTTCATTCTGTCCATAGGCGACTACAAATGAACTATATGCTAATAGTTTTGGCTATCCCTTTTGTACAATTGGGGAATAGACCTAGTGCCCTAGTTGGAAGTCTACAGAAAGTCCGTGGGGAACTTGTGATGGATCATGGTGGTCTCTTGTGGGTAATAAATCTTGTTTGTTGACACTGCACGTCAGGGAGTTTTTACAAAAATTAGTTGTGTCCCTAAACACAGTTAGCCATAAAAAAATTAGATTTTAGAATTTTATGCACAGTTCTTCTAACTCATAAATGTTCTCATGACACTAAGTTGTAGCTGAGACACCTTAACCCGTATAACTTGACATTATATGAATCAATGTGAAATGAGGCTAACTTTTTCAAGCATGTCAAAAGCAACACAAAACTCAATCAAATAAAACTAGAAGGCATCAAGTGCCAAAATTTTATTTAAAAATTAATCCCTAAAAACATATTTCAAATGTGGAAGTAAAACATTACATCATTAAACAACTTAGGTCACACCCGAAATAACACAATGCATACAATATGTGAAAATCATGGCTAGCAACCAACCATTCTATCTTCTAATCATCCCCTAGATGGGATTTTTTTTACCGAGTATTATTAAGATATCATCGTCACCACAAAGTGAGGGGAGGACCAAACCGAGGCCTAACGCCAGCCCCTCATACGGAAGACAAGCCTTCCGGGGAGTACAAAGGATAAGAAAGGGAAAGGGGGCCTAGAACAGGCTTGACCAAAGCCACAATACGGTCCTAGCTAGAACAACTAGTCTACGGCTTGACCAAAGCCACAATAAGGTCCTAGCTAACAACAACACTACTAGTCTACGGCATGACCAATGCCACAATAAGGTCAAAAACACGACCAAAGTACCACAGAAGACCAATCCAAAACAGCCAACACAGTTCACACAACGTTATGAGGATGAGGAAGGTGAAAACTCAGGAACACGTTGGATGTCCCACTGACAGAGGATTTGACAACGCTTAGGCAGAGCAAATATACAATCAAATTCTCCACTTGGGTGACGCTGGTTACAACACCATCTAACCAGGAAGTTCGTCACCCTATTAGCATGATTATCACAAATGGTGGCCGTATAAGTACAACAGGATAATAAAAAAGCAAGTCTGCTCAATTGAGGGCAGGTAAGGATATCAAGTTTTAGAATATTTATAAGGTCCTCAAAATCAGCTTCCACCTGTAGTACTTGAAATCCTGCACTTAAGCACCATTGAAGCATTATGACAAGTAACTCAATAGTTCCAACCAACACAGAAGATTGATTAGCTAGCCAATAAGCATATTGAAATATCCCTTTTGAATCACGAGCCATAGAAGTAAGCCCATGGCCATTTGTATCAGAACACAAAGACAAATTAATTTTAACCGTATCCACAGGTGGGTTTTGCCAAAGAGATTCCTTGAAGTGAAAGGCCTTAGATATATTGCCAGAGAGAGTAAAGATGGCCTTCCAATCATTGATAGATCGAATTCGATAATTTTGGCCATTTATGACACACAACCTCAACGGCATCCTTCCTCACCTTGAATATAAGTCTAGGCACATTAACATGTTTCTCCCCAAATTTGAGCGAAGCATAATGAACCCATAATTCCCAAACAATAAAGGTAGGTATACACTGTTTCAATAATTGTCTAACTGTGGGCTTCTTAGAATGAATACGGGACCCCCACCAAATGTCAAGATATTGTTTGATAGTGGTACAGCCATGGTCCATACCAAACAGGTCACAAAAATAATTCCAGACAGCTCTAGCCACATCTCCTTGGGCAAACACATGTTCAGTTGATTCTCTATCAGGTTTAGTACAGCAGTAGCATTTAGAAGGGAAAGAATGACCAAACCTGTATAGAATAGTATCCANAAGGAAACCTTGAAAGGGATATGCTTATGCCAATAATTTTGTAAATATATGTCAGTTTGACCACTAGGCCTTAAGAATTGTTTAACTGCTTTCAAGGAAAACTCTCCAGTAGCTTTAGGTTGCCATATGGCTTTATCTGGAAATGGAGAACCAAACAAAGACAAGTCCACTTGGAAATGTATAAAGAAACCTGGGTCCATAAGTTGTTGAAGTTGAGCCAGGTCCAATGCCTTGTTCACAACATAGTTTTTCAAAGGAAAGAGCCAATATTTCCCCCGTGCTTGATTGGTGATCACAGCAAGTGACCCAAGGCCAGTGCAATTATCCCACCATAAGCTTAAAGACCCATCATAAATTTTCCAAAGGATTTTTGATTCAATCAAAGGTGTAATCTGCACCATTCTTTTCTAGATATGAGAATCCCCATGTTGCCAAGTCTTAGCCACTGGATGCACTCTCTGGCAATACTTTGCTTTCATAAACTGTACCCAAGTTGTATTAGTAGTTCTAAAGTTCCACCAAAGCTAAGCACTACAAGCTTGCACTATGTCTTTCATTCTGGTAAAACCCAGGCCACCATCTGTAGTGTTATAGCTCATGTGATCCCAGGAATTCCAATGATAATGAAGTTTATGTTCAGCTTGTCCCCAGAAAAAATTAGAGAAACTTTGTTCCATTTTAGCCAAAACACCCTTGGGAGGTTCCACAGCAGAGAAAAGGTGGGCAGGTAGAGCTTGTAGGACACTTTTAATCAAAACCTGTTTACCTCCAAAGGAAAGCAACCTCCCTTGCCATCCTTGACATTTCCGTGTCACTCTATTCAGTAGGTTGACAAAATAACAGCATTTCATTCTTCCTTTGTAAATGGGGCACCCTAAATAATAGAAAGGGAAGGCCTGGTGCTGGACTTGAATCAGGTCTGCAACTCTTTGAGTGGTCATAACAGCACTTTTTGGATGCATATAAAAGGAACTCTTATGAGTACTTATCAGTTGACCAGAGATGTGTTCATATAAATGAAGCTCCTTCATAATTTTAAGTATAGAATTCCTCCTCCCAGAAGTAAAAATGATCATATCATCCGCAAAAGCTAAATGACTAATGGGATGGAGTTTCTTGGGTTGTGTAAAAGGAATG